CCCCCAGTTCATATGCAAGAGCATATCATTCATGTCAAATCTCACACATTGCATGGGGAAAAGAAAGCCCTCTCCTGGTAGTACATTGTCAGCCTTGAAAGAAAAAAGCAATAGACTAAGAGCAATCATCATCCTAATCCTTGTGTCATTCCCCAGTACAACTTACCTCCCTTCCCCACCATCTTCCAGTTGGAAAAGTTTCAACATTGACTTCACTTGTTTCGTTTCTTCTCGTTCTGTATCATTATCTTTTAGTTCTTTGAGCATCACAACATCTTCAGAGTGTGGAAAAGTCGTCTAACCCTAATTATACCAGCCGTTCTTCAACACACATATATTTAGATCTTGGTATGGTAGCTGAGTGTCTTCACTTGGGAAGTTCCTTGGGTGTGTGTTTTGGTCGCCCTTGTCTGGAGTGAATGGCGACAGTGAAGTCTAGTTTTCATCCGAATAACCTCCTTTTTCGGAACAACCATATGTCCGGAGAGCACAACACCCACGCAACAATAATTAATCGAAAAACAATATCAACTTGCTCTTCTGACTCAATAATTCCTTTTCACTTCGGTCTTGTGGTCTTGCGCAAGTTCTTCCTATCTACAAATTCTGTAGACCGAAAAAATATTGCTCAATCCTCTCTTTGTGAATAGCAATCCGACTTCATCTGAAAATCCCTTTACCTCTTATTCACTACACTCAATTCTTTTTTGCGGAGCTTATTCCTTTTGCAGTCTCTGCTTTCAGACCCTCTGGATGATTCACATACCAATACCGACTACTTCAATTTTCCCCTCGAAACTCTTACACTTCTCAAACTCCAAATCCAACTCTCACTATCCACCTGTTGAACAGTATACAGCTCTTTCTACAGACCAACAGTCATCATGTCGGGAAGGTCAGCCTATGTTAGGAAGGTAAAGGTGGACAAGAACAACAAAGCAGGATACGACTACCTGAATAAAGATGACACATTCAAAGGAAAAGAGCGTACCCCCTCCTTCAAGTCCGATCCATCAATCTCGGATTTTCATGGAATGGATAATGGCGCTTCAATAAATTTCTCAGATCACCATGATTTTATGAGATCAGATGAGCCCTCAGCGAGATCACTCAACAGCGGTCAATACGAGCCCGAATATAATCCTGGATATGCTCGAATCAGAAGACCTGAAATGCCGATCATTGAAACCTCTGGAATCGAAAAATCAGCTTTTCGTTCAAAGATGGAGAAGAGCAGCGAGAGTTTTCGTCACAATTTCGCAAACGTCTTCAAAAAGAAGAAAGGCAAAGAAGCACCAAATGAAACCCCACCCACAACACCAAATGGAGAAGAAAAGCATGAGCTGGCAGCAGAAGGAATGCACTATCAGAATCAACGACCTATCAGCCCTCTACGACGAGCCCCCAGCCATGAGAGTCAGCCATCCTACAAACGTGGAAGAGCTCTCAAGGGAGACATTCCGCCATTGCCCCCAAAAATGAAGTTGTGGAGACGAAAAGGACAACCAGTTGTATTATGGGATAAACTTGATGTCAGAGACCCAGATCTTTGGGACCCAAAAGGAGATGCTCTGGTATTTTACGCCAATGAAGCAGAAGACAATGAGATGCTGCAACCGGCTTTCAGACTGGGATCTCATTTGATTGAAACAATAGGATCACCATTGGTAGATTCACTACTTCGCGACGGTTTGACAGACGATATGGACAATATGAGCATCCCTGAATCTTACCGAAATGGTCCCCCACGACCTCGACAACCGACTCCTCCTGGATCCGAATCTAGCAAAAGTTTCGACTCCTCCCAAATCTCGTATAGATTTGTGTTACCATCTGCTGGAAACGTTTCAAAGCAGGATTTACTAAGGTATAAGCTTTCCTGGAGAAACGTCTTTGCGGTATGTTCCAACAAAGGAATTGTTGGATACACCTTACATCAAGCAATCACCGATGTATATGAGCGCTTCTTGGCAATCATGCCTAGAAACCAGAATCTATCACATATTCCTGTCAATTACACCAAAGCAATGGGATGGGACGATCTTCGCGATGATCCGGAGTTGGCTTGCAGTACGTTGATCTGGAGTGAACACAAGAAAATACACTGGCAACAAGGATGGCACGAGGCATTTGTACACTGTGCAGGGATGTACAACCAAGTTGCCTCGTTACCCAGCTGGAAGAACGTTTCACCAGCTACAAAGTTGATGCTTGACAAGGCCAGCGTCGAAACTTTAAGTCAGGTAGCTTACTGTGAAGATTTGTTGGCTAGGTTTGACTATGGGTCTTACTGGCCAGAAGCTTTGGGTCATCATGGCGTAAGCTCTCGTGAAGCTTTTGTCAGACTTCAGGGATTCTTTCGTGACCATTACTCAGATATGTTCGGGACATGGCCTCCTATGCCACCGGATTCTAGGAGCGTGGATGGGTGGCTTACAAGACTTATCGTCAGAACTCTCGCCGCCGATTTCTATGCCCTTTATGATTATCTAGTTGATCGAAAAGTTGTCTGGAATGGTTCATCCAAAATGAACAGTCGCAGGTCTAACATCGTCCGTCTTGGTTCTCCAGAATTTCGTCCTAATAGCCACGACTGTGATTTCGTCGGTCTGATCGAACGATTCGACAGTCATCACAACATTCCTTCCATTCCACATCCTTATGCTCAGCTGCCACAATCGTGTCCACCTACCCTAGGCAGAATTACACAATTGGAAGCTAGAAAATCAGCTCTAGCATATACCGAGGCAACAAATATTTTCCTTCTTGGAGACGAGTACGAGGGTAACGAAATGGTGGAAGCGTATATGCAATGGGAGAAAACAGACAGAATCGGCGAATATGATCCGAGAAGCGCTCGCAGAGCTCGCTGGGTTCTTGTTTATTTCATTTTGCAAACTTTATCAACACTTGTTGTTGATACGCCAGGATTAGATTATTCTGACGGAGTGGAATACTTCTTGTCCGGTAGAATAGAGCAACAACCTGCATGGATTGAAGATCAATCACTCAGACAGCAAGCTGAGCACAGTCGAAGTCATTGCTGGACCGTATCTTCGGCATGGCGAAAGCAATCAAATTTCGAAAACAATGGGCTTGATTCTGTACCTGAGAGACTCGAGCCGACTGCCACAGGCAGATCTTTATCTTCCGTCTCTAGCTACGAGAGTATGGCTAGAACAACCACATTTTCTGAAGCAGAAACTGCCAATGACATGGATACCGCTCGTACCTCAACCGCTGTATCTGTTGCCGAGAGCAAAGCAAGTTATCAGACCATTCAACGAGCAGAAAACCTGAGCATCCGCACACGAGATATATCTCCAAAATCCAGACAATCACCAACACCGAAGACCGTTTCACTCTTCCCCGCTCCTCCAAAACAAGTCATCGATCCACAATATTCCTCAAGATCATCCGACAAATACTATTCCACACCCAACAACTACCCACCATCTCTCCCTCCCAAATCACCTCTTCCACAAACTCCCTCTTCTTCCTATGGATCTACACGCAACTATCCAGGTTCAAGCCGCAATGGTTCGTCAAATCAACAATCCCGTGCCAAAACACCCACCCATCAAAATCCTTCTTGTTTCGTACCCTCGGGCAGTGAGGGAGAAATCATGGGATTAAGAATCCATAAAAGCGCCTCTTCTACCCCAGTTGCCTCTCCCGTCATTTCTTCTCATCCTACCGGTCTTCCACAACGAAGCAATACCGGCTATGCGCCTGGAATTGAGAAGTTAGAAGACCCGATTTGGAGTAGCAGTGGAAATAGTAGTCCTGTCGAGAACTACAAGAGCCATCAAAAAGGAAGAAATGCGCAACTTTCTGGTCAACAAGGGATGCACGCTAAACATATTAGAGATTTCGACGAGCAGGCTTGAGGAATGTACCACACTGGAACACCAATTTCTCTTCTTACATTTTTTCTTCTTGTTTCTTACTCTTTTCTTCTTCTATTCCGATCTGGTTCAATGCGTTCTGATCAGATTCGGTAGATCATTCTATGGATACCCAAAATTCAATGGTTGGTTGCTTTGGGGGTGTCATGGTGGATTTATTCTTCTTTCTTCTTTATTGTCCTTCTGTTTTCCCAGATTTTCTTTCTTTTCCTGGGGAACTTTCCTGTTTATATTCATCAACTTCAATCTTTTTCCTGGTGCAAAAAATGAGAGATATCTGCAACTTTGAAATCTGGACCTTGTATATGGAGAGATTTGGCGTCTATTTCTTTAATCTTGGCTAGGGTTGGGAGGGTATGTTGCTCGGGAATGCTTGATGAATGGAAATTCTATGAAGGGGGGGAGGAAGGAAAGGTCATGGATAATGACGCATAGATACGAAATGTATTTATATGAATGCAATCTATAAACATAAAGTTCTTGGAAGTGGTGTGATGTGCAAGATTGTCGTGAGATGCATTATTTTCTAGGAATTACAGGAAAGCGCCATACGGATGCTTTGCAGGAATATCAATAATGACAAGAAATTCTCACTTCTTGAGTGAGATGAGGGAATTGTAATTGTTCCATTCAGATCTCGAATTGGTACAGAATGTCGAATCTTTCTGTAACAATATAGTCATCCCTATAACCTACCTATCTATCAACAGTCCGAAAGCGGAAAAGATAAATCTAGCCATACTTAAACCGTAAACTATCCGAAATCCTACCTCCAAAGCCAAACGCACAAGTTATTTTTATACAGAGACAATATTGGTTATTCATAATGTGTTCATTATTTCCATAGCACGACTTGATGTCAACCAACCACACAAATAGCAAATATTTGGGTGTTTTGACTGGGAAGTTATACGGAAGTCAATGAGTAATTCAACAGTGTACATTGATTCACCTGGGGCAGGAAAGATCCTGCGCTCTGTCTATATTCTAGCTTGTTGGTGCCGCAAATGCTGACTTGATGTCCATTTCATAGCATAAATTTAATCTAGTGTTGATGAGGAAATCCATTCAAGCCCCTATTCCATTATCAAATTATAATGAGAAATCCTCATCAAGACCTAGCTCCTCAAAGGTTATGTCCTTAGAGATGTCTCGTTCCGTATTGAATATATCATCCAACCTTGGCCCGCGACCTTCAAATTGAGCCTTGTCATCGTCCTCTTCCTCATGAATACCATGATCTTTCATCCCAGCGTCTTCAGAACATGCTTCGTTCTCCTTATAATAATCCTCAGAAATGCTATTATCGTCATCTTCAACCCCTCCTCGCATTCTGTACATTCTATCTTCGGTTTCCTCGATCCATCCTGCAATGGGTGAGCCCTGTTTGACAAACCCCCTACATTTCTCCAGAAACCTTTCAAAAAACCTCAAAGCTTCATCATATTGTAAAAGATATAAGAGTTGAGGCCCCGGCTTATCGCACACTACCCTTTTTCGTAACAAAATCCCTACAAAAAAATCGTTTTCCTATATAAACTTATTTCTTTTATAATTTATTTAATAATTTGAAAGTTAATTTGAAAATCTTTTATATAAAAAATTACTATATTTGAAATCTTAAAAAATGAACAAATTATTTTTAATATTTTTTTTGATATAATTATAGGTTTTCAAAGTTAGAAATTTTCAAAATTTATTACATATTATTGTTTTTATATAAAAAATAATATATATATATATAGTTCTATATTCATATAGTATACTAGGAGCGAATCACAGGATCACATGATCAAATCACATGATCGTCGTTTAAGAGAGCTCTTAGCCCAGAACGGCCTGAAAATCAATTCTTTATTAGCTCTTTATTAGTTCTTTCAATCCATTCGTAGTAAGATCGACATAGTACTAGCGAAATCGAATAATGAATAAGAAAGAAAAGCTTTATTTGATGGAATGGCCGGATTAGGAAGAGATCTACAAGAGATAAATGTGACGAACTCAACGAGCGTTTAGAGATCAACCTTAGAATTAAAAGCTACAGAACTAAAGAGAGCGTGCTACGAGCTATATATGCGATCGGCTTCGAGCTTAGTGCCGCACTAGCCCGATCGGACGCGATCACTTGTATATCGTGACAATAAACGAAAGTGGAAAGCTAGATTAGTAGGAAAAAGCATAAAATAAGGCCTTTCCCCCTCGAATATAGAAAAAAAGAAAATAAGAATATCATATACTGTTTCATGAAAATCACGTGTTTCATAGCTATTTAGTTGTTAATACGAGCCAGCTTCCCATAATAGACTAATATTAGTCTATTCCCTCTTATTGTTACGTAAGCGGACACAATAGGAGTTGTAAGCTTTACCACTACGCCACACACGCAATCTGTCCAAAAGGCACAGTATCAGGGATTGTTTCCTGATAGCTTACTACTATATATATATCCATATAACACTTATATACTATATACTCATATACTAGCTCATGACCTACGATACATATAACACTTTTCCCATACAAAAAAATCGATTTTTTTGAAATTTTTTGAAAATTCTAACTTTGAAAACCTATAACTATATCCAAAAAAAATACTAAAAATAATTCATTCATTTTTTGAATAATTTCAGTAATTAATTATAATATATATCAATTTCAATAATTCAATTTTTATATTTATTGAAATAATATATAATTCAAAAATTAAAGAAATGAAAGTTTTTAATGTATTTTCGGCTAGTATGCAATAAGCTGGGGCCTCAACTCTTACCAAGTGATTTACAATTATCTTGCAATGTAAAAAAACAATTGAATGATCCCATCCGAACATTTTGACAATTGATTTGAGAGATTCTTTGAAGCAAACTATAGCTTCCCAATTACTTCCCTGTTTCCAAAGAGCGTTTCCCAGGACGCCTTTAAACTCTACCTCTATGAACATTTCATTCGATTCATTTGCGTAAGGGGAATTTTGGATACCCTTGAGCATATTAACTGCCTTTGAAGCTTCATTTTGTTGCAAGAGGGCTCTGGCCATTATTATGTGATGAATATGGCATGTAAGCTTTTCACCAAGAAAGGCTTCGGCTGATAATTTGGATATGTGATGAGACAGATTGATACTCTCGTTGTAAAGGTCCTGGGCTTCTAATACAAAGATGAGTGTGCTTGCGCTTTCGAACCAAGCTACACCCAAGCCTGATTGAATGGACACTTGAAGACTGTATCTAGAAAGCCTATTGGCCTCGATCAGATAATGCTTTCTTTTCAAGATCAAAGACAATAGATTCATGACTTTAATGGTTAATAAGTGGTTGTGCCCTAATGTAGCTAGAACTGTCTGCATCAAAGGACGGATTATATTTTCAGCTTCGCGATCCTGGTTAATTCGATGTAAGATCTTGGCCATCAAATAAGATGAATGAATATGTAGTGGATGTTGAGAATCCACAGCCTCTTCTATCTTTGGGTGCAAAATGAGATGCAGATCTCTCCCAATCATCAATGCCCCCAAAGCAATGCAGGAATCGACAATCCAAAGACATGATTCTACAATCTTGTACGTATTAGGGAATCGTTCCTTTTGTCTTGCACACAAGAGCTTTCTGCATGTCATTGCAACTTTTCTCTTCCAAGGAAGTCGGTGGTAGACAAAAATCAAGTACTCCAGGGTCGAAATGATTGCTGGAGAATTCGCTGGTAGTACTCTTTCCAATTTCGACAATTTCGACTCTAAATCTACTAACATCCTTTTGAACGATGCAAGTGAATGAAGAAAATTGTTCTGAATGCGATCGTTGGAGTTTCTAAATGGTGGGAAGATGTCAATCTCGAACAGAGGACTCCAGCGACATTGATATATTCCTGAATTGTCGGTTTGTAGCGAGGTACTCCTAGCAGAAAGGTGATGTGGGTAGTGGTTATTCCTTTGAGCCAGGAAAGACCCACCCCATACTAAAGTTTTATCGTATGGGTTGGAAAGTGCTTTCAAATCCGTCCCAGATATGAATCGTGCTTCTTCGACATCCCACTGCTTTTCCTTCTCGGTCTCAAAACTTGTAGATGCGATGATTTCTGCAATCTCAAGCTGCACAAAAAATTCAGCCAACCATGAAATTCCGGAATCATCTTCAGCAGATTGACTGAAAGGCCATTCATCTTCGGTGTTTTGTGTGACTATGTCATGACGAAACTCTGATCTGGGGATCTCTTCTATAGTCATGTCGTGGTCTTCAAGTGCCGTGTTTTGATCCCCGGTCATGGTATAGCAGGGTTCAGGGTCCAATGAAGCTTGGTTGATTGCGTTCGTTTCTGGAGAAAAGTCCTGGTCCTGTACGAGAGATCTCTCATTATCTTCGCTTTCAACTCCAAGACCCATGCGCGCGGCATTTCTTTTCTGCAAGCGCTCAACCCTTTTTTGGTTAATTCGTGTGTCGTGTATAAACCGTTGAGGAATCTTTTCGCTCTTCACAATCTCATCTCTTTCATTTTTCCCAAAATTCTTTTTAAAGCCCCAGCTTTCGACTTTTCGAGTAAATTGCCGTTTCCTGTTTTCGTCAGATCGTAGTTTCAATTTTAATCAACGGGAACCAAGTCGACTTCCAATCAAACTTACGTGATATTGTATCCGAACTCCAAATTGAGCGCCTCCTTGACTTTGAGAAATGTCAAATTATCAATGATGTACAGACGATGAATGATTGGTTTTAGAGTTGGCCGATCTGCATCGCTAATAACTTTTCTACTATAGTGTGGGTGATGATTTGGGGGTTCTGGTATGAAGCAGTGAGATTCAAGAGTCTTAAATTTATCGATGGCATAGGCAGATACTGATGATGCTGTAAGATCTCCGGCTGAGAGTGTTTTTGAATAATCCATGAGCACAAAGATGTCAAAACTAAGGAATGATGACCGAATAATTGGAGGGATGAATTCTTTCGTTGACCAGAAGAGTGATCAATGAGCTCATTGGGGATGGGGATAAGATATAGAATAAATATTCGAATCATTTTTCATAAATCCTCTACCATTCGCGCGTGAACGGAGGCTGAACAGAATTACCTTGCATGAGAAAGGCTTTTTACTGCCCCCAAGTGTGGGATTACCCAAGTTCCCGCGCATGAATCATCAATAAGGCTCAAAAGCGCCTTCACTACAAATCATCCGGGTAACACTCATCGACAGCCTTGCCACGCAGTGGACTAATTGGATAATGCCAGCACTGGCTCGCAGACAATCTCTTTTGAGGATGCGTGGTACATCTGGAATGGTTGATCGCCATAGCAGCAGGCCAAAAGCAGTATCAAAACCACTCAATAGACTCGGAACTCATTTCGATGCCATGATCAGTATCGATGTTTCAAGAATGCTTATGGTTGGGTATTGATATTTTATTGCCAGCACTTGCAAGACTAGCTTTGCCGTCAATAGAGAAGCTCTAGATCATAATTATTGACTTGAGTTTTAGACCAATGTCACTTGACATTGTAAATAAATCCGACATCTAGGTCCAACGAGAGAATGGAGATAGAAAATGAAAATTTGTAGAAAAGTGTTGAGATTTATCAGCGTTGATAGCGAAGAACAGATGGAATGAGAAAGAGAGTGGAGTGGATTCATTAGGTAGTAAAATATATTGCCACACTCACCGCCCTTCCCCGCGGCGAAAACGGCAATATAATTTCAACCCCGCCATGTGAATTTTCTTTGACATACGAAATAAAATGATGGAACAACTAACCACCGCCCCAGTTCTATCGACTCCAGAAGTACATATATTCGAAGATCCCACACCTTTGATAAAAAAAGATGACCTCCCTAAGCTTTCAGACGAAGAGTTATACGATGTTTACGAGATTTCGCGGACGGTGAATGAGATTCGAGAAGGAGGCTGGAAGAAAATAGCTCTACAGTTTTCGGATGGAATGTTATCAGATGCACCGAGAGTTTTCCAGGAATTAGAGAGTAGACTTCGAAAATTACCTACGGAACCTAGTTCGAGCGAAATCTCAAAGGATGAAGGCTCGAGCCTAGAAACAGACTTCAGCAACCCATCTGCGAACATCGCGACATCAAGTATTCGACATAAATTATACATATTGGCAGATACATCTTATGGATCCTGTTGTGTTGATGAAATTGCCGCCGAGCACGTCGATGCGCAAGTCGTCGTTCATTATGGCCGCGCTTGTCTATCTCCTACCGCACGATTACCTGTAATTTACGTCTTCACATCTCGCCCACTAAACCTCGAATCGGTCATTCAAGCTTTCGAGAATACATACAAGGAGAAGTCCGACAAAGTTGTCATTATGGCTGATATTACATACCACTCGCACATTTCACCTCTAGTCGCCCAATTACGAGATAGAGGCTTTGAAAATGTACTTGCGCCGGAAATCACACACAATCCCAGTGCCACAATACCGAACCGAAAGTTAGATGAAGGGGTAGATATGAAGGATTATAGTTTATTCCACGTTAGCGAGCCACCATCTGCGTTACTACTTACGTTGTCGAGTAGGGTCAAGGAGATGCATATTTATTCTATAGATTCTACGACCGGAAACGAAACTACGAAAACGAATACAGCAAGAGCACTCATGCGGAGATATGCCTTACTGACATCACAGTCTTCATCTTCAGTCTTTGGTATCCTGATAAATACCCTTAGTGTAACAAATTATTTACCTACGGTGAACTCCCTGGCATCACTTATAAGATCAAAAGGGAAGAAATCTTACACGTTTGTAGTCGGGAAGGTCAATGCTGCGAAGTTGGCGAATTTCAGTGAGATAGATGGATGGGTAGTGGTAGGATGTTGGGAGAGTAGTTTGGTAGAAGGGGAAGCATTATTCAAACCAGTTATTACACCCTTCGAATTGGCATTGGCTTTACAGAGTGATGATGAGCGAGTCTGGGGTGGTGATTGGGTTGCAGACTTCAATGCTTTGAATTTGCAAGCTACCGCTGTTCCTACTTCGTCAGCGGAATCGACTGAATCAAATAATCAGGATTCCGAAACAGCAAATCCAGCCGAGGATGCAGACGACTCCGAGGAAGAATCGATGCCTCCCGAATTTGATCTTCGAACTGGCCGATATGTCTCGCATTCTCGACCTATGCACTCTTCTCAGACGCATTCTTCAGAGCCTAAGAAAGCGTTGGAAAACGGGCCACAAGCTAACGCATCAAATAAACTGGTCAAGAGAGCAAAGATGGAAATGGTGACCGTCAATGGAGAGGTTAGTCCTGGTGCAGAATATCTGAGAGAGAAGAGAACCTGGACAGGTTTGGGTAGTGATTACGATAAAGAGGCTATTGATGAAGGCAAAGAAAGAGAAGTTGCTGCGGTTGTTGAAGAAGGAAGAAGTGGTGTAGCAAGAGGATACACGGTTGGTGAAGACGCTTCGCGGAGTTGAACAATTGCTTTCTAGATGCGATTTTGAAGCGGCCAAATCCAACAGAAATTGGCAGAAGACTGGACAAAAAAGTTGATACCCTTTTTTCTCAATTCAAACATGACTCGTGCGAAATACTGGAGCTGTCGTCACAAATTTGACTAGTTCTGGACCTAAGAATTGATCTAGCGGTACGGGCCTGACTTGCAGCATGTACTAAGCCCTCCAAATGTACTTTTTGGGTAATTGAAACATCAGGAGAAGAAACTCGGCGAAGAATGGAGTCAACAGCAAGATTATGGAAGCTCTTGACGATTCACCGCCGATGAAGTAATAAGTTTCATCAACTCGGCGAACAGGTACAACGAATAGGTACATATGATATTCCCCACCACAGTACCTGTCGGTACATCGGTACCTGGAAAAGTCGAGAATAATCGAATCATGTTGTTGAGTTGGCAAAAAAATAGAATGAAACTTTGGACTCTACATCCAATTGATCCTAGATCCAAATGTAATACTGTACCAGATTATCCCAACTACCCACTTACCAAGATCTCCTCCTTCCAAGATGATAATCTCGGTGCCTTTTTTTCTTCTCTTTTTTTCTTTCTCTCTCTCTCTTTTCATTGACATCTGGATTTTGTTTCGAGTTCATCGGATATTAAAAACAGATGTTGTCACCCTGCATTGACCTAGGAGTGATGACCTAGTCCAGGATCTTTGGGCGCCAATAACCTGCCACTTCTTTTATTTCGACACACTAAACCCAACCCCGCCATTTTTTGGATCGCAACGAAATTGAATTTTGGGGGGGGGTAAGACTGTCAGTTGGTAGGAAAGGTGTGATATAAAACGGGATGCAGCTTGTAAATGTAGGTACCTAGGTATGCTCCGTGGACCGTAGGTAATCTAATTATATAAAATACTATCTACCTAGTATCTAGGATTAGATTCCCATTCTAATCCAGCCATCTCTTTATTTGATGTTTTGACCTGTAGATTTTGTGCATTGTAGACTGTCTGTAGATACCATACGAGTAGAATATATCAAAGTGTATATAGTAGGAAAAGGAGACGAGGCCAGACGAGACCAGACGAGACGAGATAATCTCAATCACTACGCAATTCAAGCAAACAAGCAAGATTTTACTACCTACCTATCGATAAGAATCTCAATCAACCAGATCTTCACCGACGTCATATAAAACCTCACATATACTCCGTAGCTATTTCACACACCGTTACCCTTACCGTTACACCCGACCCATCATCCATCCACTCACCAGAAAAGAAAAGCAAAGAAACTTTTCCCAAAGCGAGCCTTGTCACTTTAGTCGTCAGCATTTACCCAGCGCATCGCATATCCATCCACCCATCCCATCCTGCTCTCCACATTCTTGTTTTCCACCCTTGTAACTCTTCGTCTCGAAGGAATCAGACAAGCCAGTTCGAGGCAAGAAAGCAAGCAACCAAGCAAGCAAAACCCACCATCCACATCCTATCCCCAATCCAAGATCCCATACCCACCAACCACACCCCCATTCCCTTCCCAAACGACGAGCTAGCTAGGTCGAGAAACAAGGCTGCATCATACCCAAAAGCAGGGCAAATCCATCCCAACCTCAATTCATTCACTCTGTGTCTATGGGTGGGATTGTGATTCAATAAGAGGACCTAGCTTCGCATCTTGTCGACGAACTTTTTTCTTCTTCTTCTTTCTTTCTATTTATCACGTATCTAGATATTCACTGCTTTGATTCAGTGAGATTTTATTTCTCGTTGCTTCCTGAAGTGAAGCAAGCACATCGTTGTGTGGAAGCGAATTTTATTCGTACGTTTGCGACTCGGCTTTAGCAGCAGCAGCATCATCATCGTCGTTGTCGCATCAGATAAGCCGACTTCAGCTGCAAGTTATATTTCACCATAACTATATCACAACCACAATCATAATCGCAATCATAAAATCAAAAACAATCGCAAAGATTTGCTCTTCGCTGTCGCATCAATAATAACATACTTTTCTCACTCCCCGCACAAAATCTGAAAAGGATAATAAACTCCTCACAATGCTTTTCGGAATGTTCTTCGCCTTTTGGCGCTTTTGCGAGATCATAACTCTGGTATGCATGCGATTCCTCACGATGAATTCCCAAATCCTCACCATTTCACTAATACTAACACTTTTCACCCCGTAGATCCCAACCCTAGGCATGCTCGCCTTCTTCGTCAACATCTACGCATCCAACAACGCGCTGACGCCCAACTACATCCTGGTGCTCTTCATCGTCTCGGTGCTCGCGTGCGCGTGGGCCATCGCCACCCTCTTCACGTACCACCGCACGCGCTCCAACGCGCTCTTCGTCTCCTTCATCGATCTCTGTTTCGTGGGGGCCTTTATCGCCGGCGTCTACGAGCTGCGCTTCATCACCAATTCCGATTGTGCGCATCTGGCGACGACCCCCGGGTACTATATCAATTTCGGGGCGTTTGGAAATGCGAATATTAATGGGGTGAGTGTGAAGGTTGATAAGACGTGTGCGATGCTCAAAGCGTGCTTTGCGTTTGGAATCATGAATTGCATCTTCTTTTTTATCACGAGTTTGCTGGCTTGTATGGTGGGGAAGGGTCATGAGAGGGCGGGGAGGAGAGATGAGAAGGTTTATGTGAGGGAGACTCATGTGACCAGACATGGACATCGGAGAAGTGGAAGTCATAGGAGTAGAAGGAGTGGGAGTCATAGGAGGACGTATGTTTAAGGGAGGGGAGGAAGTGGATGTGTTTTGATGGGATGGGATGGAATGGAATGGGAAGGATAGGTTGGAGAGGGAGTTACGGCCGATTTAATGTTTTACTTTTGGGGAATGAATGACTGAATGAATGAATTGGATGGATGGAATCGGATGAGAGGTTGGGATTGGATTGGAAGGAATGAGAAAATGATAAGCTTGGTCTGGATAAATAAGTAAGATATGTTATTATGTATCTTTGAATGAGGACGAAATGAAATGAAATAGGATAGGATAGGATAGGATAGGATAATGACCTCGGGAATCAACGCGATAATCCACATACATACATACATAGCTCTTCCTCCTTTACATTTCTCATGTGAGAATATCATCTAATCAACCCCCATACCTACTGACAATATTCAATTTCCTCGCCCACCCAACCCATCTCCCATACCAAATCTTCCCCCCTCTTCCCATCCCATATTCCTATCCCGTATCTATATCCCTGTCTATTCTAAACCGCACCTCATAACTAGCTATCTTCCCTCTATTCCATATAAGAAAAGCATTTTTCTCATTAGTATCCTTATCCTTCCTCATCCTCAATATACATCAATCAATCATCAAGTGATGATTTCAAGTTGAGATTTCGAGTTGGGATTTTAGGTAAGACACATCTTCCATCTACATCTTACATCTCTACGAAGAGAATGATGAGTGATAGTATGGTTATTTGCTGAGTTGGTAGGATGATATAATTGTTTTGAGTGATGGGTTGATGGGTTGATGGTTGATGGTTGATGGTTGATGGTTGATGGTTGATGGTTTGTTTATTTATTTATTTATTGAATTGGTTGTGTGGTCTGAGTTGTCTGAGTGGATATGGTGAGTTTATTTGTTGGTTTTGGTGCAGGGAAGGGAAGGGAAGGAGGGGAAGAAAACGAGGAAGGGGTGAAATGTATTGTTATGGGCTCTGGGGTTGGTTCTCGAGGGAGGGGGATTTATGTTTTTATGGTTTTGGTTGGGGAGTTGAGGATGAGGATGGGGATGGGGATAGGGATGGGGATGGATAAATTGTTTTATGTTTTGTGAGAGGAGGATGGTTGTAGCGAGAGTTTGGAAGAGAGGGATGATTTGTGGTATTTTGTGATATTTCGTGAACTATAAATTGGCCATATGGTTTGAAAAGCGATCTTACGAATTTTTGTATATCGGTATGAACACTACCTAGGTAGGTAGATGTGGGAAAGTGAGAAGCTTAGAGGGTTACTAGATGAGTGTGATGTTGAGACTACCCGGGTAAGGTTGTGGGTTAGATCTAGGGATGTAATTTGGAGTGAGGGTTTTGTATTGTTTGAGAGGAGCTGTTGTTACGTTGCGTGACGTCAATTCCATCTTCTTATCTGGTATATGGAGATTGGAAGTGGAAGGTCTTGAATACATGACATGTATGGATTAATCAAGAAAAGATCAAGCGATCGAACTTCGATGAGTCTTCCATGTAGAGATTTTACGGGTTATAATCTGTCCACATTCTCCATTGATTCTTTCATCAAATAAACATGACCCTAAACCCCGTCCTCTTCTCCTCAACACCATTTTCTCCCTCCTCGCTTCCCCCCAGCCCACTAAAACTCATCTAGTTAATCCTATGTCCCTTCCAAACCAACAACGCAATATACAGCAGACCCGCGACCTCTAAACGCCATCATCCCATACGTCCACCCTACATTAACATCCACCACGCAAGGGTTAATATAAAACGCAACACTAAGACCGAATCCCACCCGGTAAAAATTAACAGCAATAGACGCTTCTGCCAGATTATCGATAAAACATTCATTGATGCAGTTTACAGTGATGGGTGTAATACACAAGGAGCCGAAAGTAACGAGGACGGTAGCGAGAGCGCGAACAACCTACCTAGTGGAGATTATAGAGGAGACCAGCGCCAAAGAGACTGAGTCTAATGGGGTTGAGGATATCTGGGAACCAGAGAGCGTGGAAACGGTATTCGGGGACCCAGACACCGTTGTTGTATTTTTTGGCGATGGAGAGGGGAAGTCGATCGGAGAGGTATTGGCGGTTGAAGAGGACGAAGAAAATACTGATCTAGTGAGTGAAGGAGGCTGGTGTGTGTGTTAATTATTTTGAGATGGGGATTGAGAGGGACAGACTGCTCACATTCAGCATTTTGCCGGGTTGTGAAATTATATCCGCCTGCTGCAACTGGCTTTTGAAGGAATGTTGGAGAAAGCGATTTCATGGCGACGTAGAAGCCAAAGTTGGTTAATGTGAAGATACTGAAGACTAGACAAACTGGGGAGATGGCAATAAGAAATGGAAATTTTGCGATTTTGAGCTATTTCGGAGTTAGCATTGTCAATGAGTTGATAGATACCACATGCATGTGTTATGAAATTACAGTCTGCGAGAAAGATGTCCTTGATGTAACTTTGGTACCAGGAAGAAATGTTGCAATCCTGTTTGCAATAAAAGACGATGGTGGATCAGGATTAACAGCTCCAGGCGTTCTATCCCAAGAGGTTTCATGTAGAAATAGAAATACCAAAATGACAGCCAAATCAACTAATCCTGCCGTCCATCGATACGCATTCATCCATTCCGACTTTGCAGAAATGAGAGCCGATGATATTGGTCCTGCCACTGTCCCAAAATCAAAACACCAATGAAAAACAGGCTCTTTCTCTTTGGTGTAGGAAAAATGAATCAACCAAGATTCGTGACCTAATACTCCAGTAATGGTACCGAAGAGTGCACCAAAGAATAGAGAGACGATGAATGCATTGTATTGACTCTCGTATGTCATAAGTGCTGCCCATACATTACTTAATATGGCACCGATCAATGACCAAAAGATAGCAGAGCTACGTCCGATGACATACGATAATGGGAAGAAAAAGAATCCTCCTGCGGCCATACCTACCGAACCAGCGAAATTCTAGGTCATTGTTTAGCTTGTATCTTTTTCAAGGGAAAAGTGTAATGATGTCTTACTTGATAAGCGATCTGAGTTGTAGTCTTGTTGTAGAGTTCGGCCTGTGGCTCAACTTGAAGCTGACCAGCAAACGTTGCAAAACTACTGACGGCGAGAATTTTTCATTCTTTTGCATAGGCCAATTCTATGATTGTTATCAGTATTCAATGTTTTCGACTTTTTGGTACCGAAACGTTGAAGTTATTGACGAAAAAGAGATACTAATGGGTCTCTTGGATCATCACTTGGATGAGGAATAAGTACGACTCCATCATGATTCTTCTTCATGGCAGGGCCGAGTTGACTTCCATCATCTTCCTTGTCTGAGTTTATTTTTACATCAGATGATACTGTGTAGCTTTCTTTGGCTTGTTGAGGAGTATCCATATCTGCAACAGCTGATAAAATCAATGGATATCGAGCAAGTATAGAAGACCTGTCTTGACTAGATGAAATTGGGATCACCGTTGAGGTTTTGAAGGGATTTTGAAGGGAATCGAGCAGTGGACCTGAATCTACACCTTCCAATCATCGACAATGGGGTCTTCCAAAACCAGATACTTCCCCCGTGTACTATATCGTGTGGATGTAATCATGGAGATGAACAGAGATGGGATTATATTGGAGATGCATATTGCCGGTGAGCTTCATGCTGGATATATAGGGGAAGAAAACATCGCGGCAAGAAAATGGGTGTCAATAAGGAAGTGACTTTGAAATCAGAAATGTCACATTAGCCACCTGGCGAGAGAATCATTTATATATTTATCTGGAGAAGCTGACGCCGCGCCGGAACATTACCGTTGCCGAGCCTATAGTCCCTGTAATTTTGTTGAAGTTTGGAGCTTGAAACCCTAATAAATGCGCTCAATGCCCCAATGAATTTTTTAAACTTCAGGCTTACATGGACAAGCCACGAAGCTTATTTTGACAAAAGAAAACTCAATCCCCGTATATTGGGGTAGTGCGACGCTATTATTTAGTATGGAATATATTATCGAAAATTCGGATACACAGGTAGACTTCATATCAAGTTGACACAAATGTCGATGTTTTGATTCCACAACCCGCTACACCTGAGGGCACATATTGAACTGGAGAACACATCGCAAAACATACTGCTTGCAGTTAACCTTCCCTGCAATCACAGAAATACCGGGGGGATTACGACAACTTGACTTCAAGCCACACGCCGGAGTCTGATAAACCTGTCACAAGTGATTCTATGCCAAAAGGGTGCTGATCTTTTCTATTCTCTTGGCCTTATCATTATTACCCTGATATAACATTCAGGGGATCTATCCCATACAAGGAAGAAACATGGTCTTGGGAACCTCGCTACACATTCCCCATATCCATGAATTTCCCATTTCCGCAAATGGCTCGGAAGATTGTGGGAATCGGGATTCAAAGACCAATCTCTACCGGATCTAGAGTGCGTTTTGTGAAGAGCTTAATACATTCCTATGATATGCACCAATAACTTCGCTCCCGAGATCGAGATGAAGGGGAATGAACCAAAGGAGTAATAGTCCTATCACTTTATACTCAAGCTCTAGGGTATCGCACTCGTAAAAGCTGCCCATCTCGGCTGGATTAATCTTCATTGTATCGAATCAGGAAGGACATGCATTCCCGTTTGTTCCCACGTATATATCTCATGTGTGATGCAGCAGACTATTTCACAGAACTGTACAAGTAGATCATGGAACAGCATCGTCTACATTCCGATACATAGATGCTCTACAGTATACAAGACTTTCAACGTCGAATCAACCATCGAATCATGATCCTTAACTGATATTCTACTCCCATTGGTTAAACTACATTGGTTTCTGTCTACGAGACAGGTTTTGAAAATCAATCTAGCGTATACTCTTGTTTCATGCGCTCCATTGACTACACTACATCAAACTCGCTTTATACTCTTTGAACTACACACCGAAATTTTGTACAATGAGTACACACGCATCTCGATGACCTTGGGGGTACAAGGCAAGAGGTCACTTTTACTGGTTTTAACAACCTTTCTTCTCGTTTTATCTATTGCCTCTTTCGTGTTGAGGATCTTTGCAAAACTTTATACCGTTGCCAGAACACAATACGAAGATTGGTTTATGGGTGTTGCGTTACTGTTTAGTCTGGGCACTCCTATCTATGATTTATATGGTATGTAGTGTTCTATCTTGTTTGAAGTTGAGGGAAGTTTATCTTGCTAAGATCATGATATCATCATGTACTAAACGATCAATAGGATTGAGTGTAGGGCTGGGAGAGCATCAAGCGAACGTTTCTGTAGACGATCAGAAACGTCCAAGTTCTGTTCGTAGTCTGGTATTCATACCATCCAGCCAGCAGCTAATTACTTTAAAAGTCAATATGGATGATTCAAAGACTTCAATCATTCTGTCTTTTCTGCCTCAAGACTTTCCTGATCCTACTCTACATCCGCTTATTTCCTACAACAAAATCCAGAAAATTTGCTTGGGCTATCTGGATCTATACGCTATTATGGACGATTGCAGCTTTGGGAGCATCGATTTTGAATGCACTCCCGTGTCTTTTTTTTTTTTGAACAAAGACCAACAAGGCCATTGCATCCCAAATGCGTTAAGAACTGTATCTTTTACGAATGGTTTTTTGAGTTTTCTCGGGGATTGTGTGATTCTCTGTATGCCAATACCTATGATTTGAAAGTTGCAGATGAATCTGAGAAGGAAGATTGCGCTTATGGGTATCTTTGCCGTTGGTGTTTTGTAAGTTTCTTCATCATGCACTGTGATGTAAGGAAGTGAGTATATCATGCTGACATTGTTGAACTTTTTCTAGTGTTATCATAACTAGCATTATTCGTCTTGTCGCCCTCTTTGCTATTAATACCGAGGAACTTACTTGTAAGCTCCATTTACTGTATACAATCCTCCAAGAACGTGATCAACGACCATTAGATAAGTTGTTCACTCATCTCGTGAAGCTATTTCCCACATAGAACCACTTAAAACAAACCACTAACACACACCCAGTCCCCCAAGTCGAAGGAGGAGTCTGGACTTACATCGAAGAAGCCATCGGCATAACCTGCGGCAATCTCGCTCTCCTCCAACCCCTCTTCCGACGTTTCTTCTCCAACAAAGATTCTCGCTTCCCAGATAGACGTTCCATCCCCCCTTCATACAGCTTTACCGCCACGGTCAAATCCGGCTCTAACAACACCACCTCTGCAAAAATCATCCTTCCCTCTTCTCGGCTCGCTTCTAAAACTGGTCGCATATCAGGATTGTACACGCGTATGAGCGAAGATCTCGGATCGGCAGATCGGTCCCGCAGGAGAAGTATTGAGGGAAGCGATATGGAAGCAGGGAGTGAAGATATAGAAATGCAGGATCGGGGATACTCGACGACGAATTTGGAAGATGATAAGATGAGAGAGGGTATTTCTATACTGGTGCAGAGGGATGTGATGGTTAAGAAGGGGAGGAGTAGAGATGATGAGATGTATAGGTTGAAGAGAGATTTATAGATTCAGTTGAGAGAACCGCCCCCAAGGTCTAGTTGTAAGACGAATAATGTGTGGCGTGAAGAGGAACTTCAGAATTCGCGGGCAGGTTTTAGGGTGGTGAGGGAGAGGTTGGATAGTTATAGTCGGAAGAGATAGGGTGGGGAAGTTGGGAAATGTATATTAAGTGTTAGATATGGTATAGGAATATGATACAATGATGATGAAAAAGATATCACTGGGTTAGAAGAGGCCATGTTAATTGACATAGTATTAGATACCAAAATACTAATTTCATCAATCATATGTTTACTCATAGAATTCCCCTCTATGTCACGATTCTTGGCCACTTTTAACAGGAAACTAAAAGAAGCTCGTACATCTGAGAAATGAATGAATGAATGATTTATTTATTTAAAGATATCTCTAAAATGTACCCCTAATAAACGAGTGTTGGGTACTAGTATAAAATGGAATATGTCTATGCATATTCAACGAATGTCAGATAGATATATGTGGTAAAAGAATGATAAACCCGGGTATAAACGAATGATAGCGCCCCAATGCCTGTATTTTATCCCATCCCCGACATAGTATGCACCACCAATTGAACCCGAACAAGAATGAAAGATTCAGGTCTCTATCCGGAAACCATAGACTCGTGTGTCTTGATGGACCTTGTAGAAAGGAAAATCGCTGTTTCAGTATTCAGCTTTCCTCGAATCGAATGAACCTGTCCCGTCATCATCTCCTCATCGTATCATTTCCAATACTGTTTGATACCCCATATGAAATTTTGATAAGATACAACCCATAAATGTTCAACTCATTCATCATCATCCACTTCGTCCCCATCTATCCCTCCAATAAAAACCACCTTTGACCTTGGCTCACCCGGCGCTTTAGGCGCTGATCTCTTCGGGATGAAAAACCCGGGTCTCTCATAGAAGTAATGAGGTTTAGGACTATCTGGCATTCGTCTATAGATGAGTTCACTCGGATGTCTCGATTCATATCGTGAAGGCGGTTCGAGGAATGGTGATGAGGGCTGAGAAGTGCGGGATTGCGTCGAGGATGTGGAGGATGCAGAGAAAGAACGCATCAATACGAGTGGCTTAGGCGTGAATCGGAAGTTGTGAGATGAGGGTGATGGTGAGGAGGTTGTAGATGAAGTTGAGGAGGAACGAACTGGTGTTCTGTTTTTTGGTGTGAAAGGAGGGTTTGAGGTGAGATCGTAGGAGGGAGTTGAAGAAGACATTTCGGGTGATGTTTATGACGTAGTGTAGTGTAATCGAATTCGATAATTCGGAATAAGTTTTAATGATAGTTTCTCCGAGACGTGGAGTGTGTGATATAAGTAAAGAATGTGTATCAGAATGCACTCTCACAATCCAACGAAGTTCCAACGGCAAAAAAGAACAACAAACACGCACGTCATTCAAGAATGCCAAGTACGTAAAGTGACAAAAAGTAAAACGAATGAGACGGATTAAAGAAAGACGAGAAAGAAAGAGTGGCCGTAAACTTATCGGTACCAAGAGTGAAAAATGTGAATGAAAATTGGGAGATATGTCCAGTACATAAAGACCTGGAATGAGGCTCATCGACCTTCTTACATCAATCTTCCCTGATTCTTCTTCCTCAAGTTCCTTCTCCATCACATATTAAAGTGTAGGAAGGGATTACTCCATCATCTTATTCCTACAGACCACATGGCATCCATGCACTCCATATTTCGTGCGCATATGATGGTGTTGATAAGGAAATCTCGTGGAAAATACATGAATTTTTGTGGGGAGATGCATTCTTTTCATCCATAGCTTATGCATGGGAACTCTAAAGACCTTTGACGCCGGGAGAAGAATGGCATTGACCAATCAGAATCGGAGGAGAGTTCAGATGGATGTTGTGCCTAGTGCGGGGTGAGATATGGCGCAGCAATCTATGAGTGGTGGGATAGATGTGATGATGTTGGCCAGATGAAGATTGTTTCTTGTAAGTTAATCTACATTGATAGAAGGTGAAGGTGGATGGAAAGTGGGAGGAGTAATTTTAGTCGTCAACTCTTGGCAGTTGTCACGGTGTAATTCACATTTCATTGAGTTCGAATATGGAATTCCAAGATGGAAGAACGTTTCTAATAGAGAACATGTAAGAAACACCTCAAGGCTTTCACATCTATTCCCGCTCTGTTCATTGCATCAACTTCACGATCAATCCGCCTATTGCGACGCGCTCCCAAAGTTTAGTTGGTGGTCCCACCATCAAAGACCAAACCCACATCTGAAAATAGAAACAAAATCAGCACAGGACATCGCCAGGCACTTGCTCAGTCCTTTTAACATTGAGCCTCCCAACACTATATTATTTCTGCAAATCAAGCGTATCGACAATCCTCAGTTAATCATTACCAGAACTACGGAGTAATACCGGACCGAATGTGATTTTGCAGTTCGGTGAGATATTTTCCGGGCGTTGTAGGCAATTCAGTAAGGTATTCTAGGAGTGCCAAGCTGCTAAAGTGCTACGTCAGGCTTCCGAATTCCAATGCGGATCATACATGGTTTGTAAGATATGAAGGCTAGGAAGAGGAACGATGGAAGTGGAAAAAGTGATTAAGTATTATGGGACGAACTGGATTGCATTACTAGAGACTAGTACGGGACGTCGTAAATCATGTGTGATGAGATGAATTAATCTGAATTTAAGGGCTGGCGCCAGTCAAAAATATTATAGAGAATGTTGAGCTGTGAAGAATTACAGGGTAGGTTCGTGGGCATCATCTCAAGTTCGTGTTGTAAATCAGTATCTCTAGGTGTCAAAGATTCTCATCTTCTGGATCCGCAATAGTCTTTCGGCTGCCTGTCGCATAGACCCTCATATTGGCCGCTGGCCTGTTTTGAGGCAACACGATGAAGAATACGCAATTGTTTCACGAGTCGCATCGGGATCGCTTATTTAGAAATGAACAGGTCCAAGTTGTAGTAAGATTGGCCACTGCCGTGGTACTCCCGAATTTAGGAGACAGTCCAACAGTAATAAGCGAGCCCCTTCATCTTGGATGTCATTACAATATAGTTCACTTGGCATGTTGACTTAATTGAAGAGATGAACTTTAAATTTGTAAAGTTGACGTAATATGTAGGGTAATGATTTTTGGAATTCCCTCTATTCGATTGAGATCATTCAAATGTATTCAACAAACGGTAATCCAGTTTGCTCTTGAATGATCTCCAAAGCCTGGATGACCTTCTCATCTTCAAATCTATAAATCGAAATGTATTAGCCAGAATTCTTTACAATTGGGATAGCAACTAACCGTCTTCCTATCAACTGTAAGCTGATTGGTGCCTCTTTATAACCTTCAGCCCCATGTTGTTCCCATAGATCCCAATTGTATTTGTCCTTGTCGTTTCTTGGAGTGTACGTCTCTTCAGTACTATCCTTTTCCACATCAACCTTGTCGACTGGAAAGACTAAAGCAGGATAATCTAACAGGTTCCACTGCGAAGTGTAACCCCACCATTTACTGGTGTCTAGTTTTGGTGCACTCCCTGGTCCAACTGGAGACAGTATAACGTCCACCATTCCTTCCAGCTCACCATTTGCACCTTTCGAAGTCGCTGTTTCATTCCAAATATTTGCATATTCAGTGCGATACATATCCCGTTGAACTTGAGAATCCCACATCGATGCGATGCTATGAGATTGTAGATGCTTGTTTTGAATAATGATGTGCTCAGTGAGGGGTCGAAGGGGCTCCCCAGATTCCTTTAGCGCATCAAGTTCTTGTGATCCACCATCGGAGAAATATAAATTGGCCTAAATTGAATTAGTGACGATTGCATTATGGAAAATATTACTCTTACAATTATCTCCCAAGCTAGATCATGCTTATATGGCTTCCACTCAACCACTTCTATATTTGCATTCGTCTTAAGCTTGTCCACGACTTGTTTTAAGGCTCTTGTGACTGGGGGATGTGGTTTAACAACCCCATCATCCCATAAAATCGCAACTTTTATTTTTTTGCCCGGGAAGAAATTCTCTTCTCGCCAAGGAAAGGGCAAAAGCGATGGTTCTTTGTACCATGGTTTTGCATCAATGAGTGCTTTCATGAAGACTTTACAGCCATCTAAGCTTGTTGATAATGGTCCGATTGTGGGAACGATGTGCTCGGCACCAGCCATAGTTGCAGTCCATCCATCTACTGGTAAGCGACGAGCTGTTGGCTTCATGCCATATACACCTACGCACAGGTAAGCATGTTTCGTTTCAATTTACTCGCTCTCATTTACCATTATTTGCTGCCGGTGAACGGATTGAGCCACCAATATCAGTACCGATACCAAGACACGAACCCCTAAATCCAACTAACGCCCCTTCACCACCTGAAGAGCCACCGCAAGTCAAAGTGGTATTGAATGGGTTTACAGTCACTCTAAGAAACAAATTAGCAGTGTCAATGTAAGTTGCTTGTCAAATTTACCCATATATGTTGTTACTTGTCTCTAAATGCATCAAAGTTTGAGGCTGTGTAGTCCTAGCGTATAATATAGCACCTGCATTCAACAGAATTTCTAGAATATGGGAATCAACTGGACTTGTTTTGCCAACCCAAGCAACGAAGCCCGCATTATGGTCCAGGTCTTTGATACCAATATGTTCTTTTATGCTTATCGGTATACCGTGAAGAGGGCCAATAGTCTTTCCATTCGTTTTCAAATATTCGTCGAGGTATTTTGCACGAGAAAGCGCTCGCTCGGGAAGTAATTCAGTGATGCAATTAGTCTGACTTTTGATTAGTCTAAAGTAAAAGTGTTTGCTAAGATGAACATACCACTTTTTGGGCCAACCCAGCTCTTCTCAAGAATGCTTTCGCAACTTCGGTTGCACTTAACTCTCCTTTTGCAAGTTTAGCCACTAGACTTTCGACTGTAGCTTCTGTAATTTTAATCTCCTCGGATGTAAGTACTTTTCTCGCAACTGATAATGTATTTAATGGAATATCCGTGACATCTGGGATAGGTGGCTTGATAGCTGCGATAGTCTCATCTCGATATCTCTGTCTATCTTTGGCAACCTCTTGCCAGGATGCACCGGATGCTGTTGTTATTGTTGCAGGTGCCATGCTAACGATGAATAACAGTTTGAACAATAACGAAGGAATAGAGTAAATCCAGGGAGGTTTGAACTTTGCAAACTATTTAAACGGAAATTGGTACACAAATCTAGTGTATGTCGTATATACTTTCAATAAGAGTTTACCTTGACATTATCAGTGGATATGATAAGGAAAGAGAAGCTTCAAATGATTAATGTGTTATCATCACACATCCTCGGAAAACGGCGGGGTAGATACTAGATAGTAAGGTGCTCGTAGGTGGGTTGTTGAAAGTGCCATCCCCAAATTGGAAAGTCCTCGCGATGTGTTGGAGGTGGAAATTGGCAAAACATGCTGAAGGTTTGAGATTGTAAATAATTGTATTCTAATCTATTAGAAACAATCTTTCGGGAGCCGTTTCTTTCAAACCGTTATCCTATTTCCAAATCTTACTCAAACTGTAGATTTCAAACTCCAAACTCCAAGCTCCCATTTCCGTTTCCATAAGCCGGGTATAATTCCACTATTGTCCTCCCTTACTTCTGAACTGTACGATCGTCGGCATTCGATTGGGCCGTCTTAGAATGGGTGACCCCAATTGAATGCAAAACCAACAGCAATAATTGTTAAAGTAATCAAAATCATGCTAACCAGCCATTTGCAGACATCCTCGGCATGGCTTATATCTGGATCTATCTCTTCGTTCAATATCTCTAATTCTCTTTGTGTTTGTATATATAAAGCCTCGTAAGATGGAGGAGGAGGTTGGTTTGGATCTATTGTAATAATGAAGGGGTCATCTCGGTAAGGTTCTTGATGCTGAAGTGGTATGTCGTGTGTATGGTCCGGCGACGATACTTCATATTCGGGAGGCCTCATTTGAGCTAATCGACGTACTCTACTGACCAAATAATCGTGCATTGGCTCATATCCAGGAGGTTCGTTCATATCGATATGGTTTCCTCCCATCCCTTCCATGACCTCCGCACCTTCATCGTCTGCTGGATCATCATGGTAAGGTTCGATAGGTCCTGCATCTTCTTCGGGTAATGGTGGTAACGACTGTGTAAGTCGTGCTCGAGAAATCGAAGTTGATGGGTGATAGTTGGACATGTCGAATATCGCAATATCTTGGTATAAGTCGTGCCCGATTCGCAGATCCTCAGATCCTTTCACGACTGTCACCCGAATTCCCTGTCGAATATCCAGACACAGCAGTGGGTTAAAGAAAAGGTAACCACATGAAAAGTTAGATGGGCATGGCAGCCTGTTATGATTTTACTACGCCGCTCTGTTCACGATGATTTTAGTGGCTATGAGTTATCCCCTGCACTGTAAGACCCGCCAAGCTTCCCTATAGCCTTGAGACCCCTGATGCTCTAACACAAGGCATATTTGCAACCACAACTCTGAAAATTGGTGTTTCATAATGTTCTACAAACGAACAACATCAATGCCAATGGTGTCGCAAGTGTTGCACCTATTGTGTTCGGATAAATTGGTTTGATTCGAATTTGAGTCAATACTCTTAAGCTCAAAATCCCGTCAAGTTTTCACTTCACAATATCCTCCCGTTTAGTTCCAGAAGCGTGCATAATTCTCTTTACCATTCATTCGTTCTTAACCCTGGCTTTTAAAATCCTACCGTACCCCTATGACAGCAAGTGCTTCTCCACCCAATTATGAGTTGTAAATGCATGGCATGATGTTTTGAAGCTAAACTCACATTTTTCGAAGCCTTGCTTATGACAAAAGGATCTCTAACAATCATCCAACCAGTAATTGGAAGGTCATTGTTGTTGTTCGCTAGATTATGACCTGTGGTAGCTCCGTCGAGTCACGACAAAACAATGTTTCAAGAACAAAGAAGATTGCCCAATCAATCCTAAAGTTCTTTGTATTTTCATTCATTGATCTAGTTGTTACTGGATTATTATATAACTATGATAGAAATCAAGAACAATCCCAATTTTCCGAGTACATATGCCTCGATGAGTCTCCATCTTTCTTATCATCACCAACCACACTCCTGATACCAACCACAATCTCAAGATGCTTCCTGAACACATTGCCATCGTTGCCTTTTGCATGATCGTTCTTGCCGCCATGCTCGCATGGGCTTTCTTCTGGCCTCACAAACGCCACAGATACGGCATGAATGACTCTAGAAAAGCAGCAAAGAAACGCTCGCGTACCGCTGGCCGGTCACATCACGACGTCGAGATGCATCCGAGAAATTGGAATAAGGTTGAGAATCATTCCAGGAATGGAAAGACAAGAAAAATGCCTGCGCATGATGAATCTGAGAAGTACGAGACATGGATGTGATTGTGCTACGGCATAACTGGAGAAACTTGAGACGACAGACATCATGCATTCTTCACGCGAACTCTCAGTCGAATATGACAAATCTATATCTGTTTCTGTCAGAGGAAACAATCAATCGAGACTTTACTACAAATTTACCTTTACTTTACTTATTATCCACACCCATTTATCCTTATTGAATTGTGACCCAAAACCTGACGACTCCGAACTTTTTCTCTTGAACCATTCACTGAATCACGTACTTTTCGAGGAACTACAAGCACTATTCCTGTGTAATAACATACTAGAATAGATCTTCGGTATCTGTCGAAGAATTTCGAAATAAAACTACTTTTAGAAAATGAGAACCAATTAACTTTACCCCATCACCACTCGATCGTAAAAGCGTCGTCCTGCCAAACGAAGCTTGTTTTGGCCATTCATACATGATGTGACGACATGTGCATGTGGTATTAATATACGTATATAATGGACAAATTGAGTTGTATAATAAAACTTAAGTGGGGGTTCATCCAATGCATTCGTTCATTACATGCCTGTCCCAAATTAATTCGTAAGATATAGGATGGGGTCATGATATGGTGAAACACTGTCATCGTGATAGCTGTCAAAGGGACCATATGTAACAGCAAGACTGAGCATAGATTCGATTTTGATATAAGACATATTCTGAGACATTTCCTATTGATCGAACTTGACGAACTTACCATTCTTATGTTCTAAAGGCTGCCAAGGCTGCCCAGACCACGAAAGAACAAAAAAGACGTTGTATCCATTGTTTTCTTCAAATTCGTTACCAGACACATGGAAATCAAGATCGCGCATGATACGATGATGATAGCGGGACATGTCTTGTTTAAGTACACTCAAACAACTAAGATTACTGACTAATCTTTCTTTTAATTCTTCTAATTTCCACGTTATTATCTTGTTATTGTCACTCAAATGTTATCATTCATTGATCGTATAGATTTACTTGAAATTGCAAAAGGAAAAGAAAAGCTTTATTTTTTTTGTCCTCTGAGGAATACCACCACCACAATGAAAATCACCCCCTCAAGAAAAAAGCGAGATCAAGGAAGGCTCATGTCATAATCATGGATATCAAACTCCTCTTCAGAACTAGAATCATCGACGACTTCAGGAGGTGCAACGACTCGCCCATTGTTAGCTGCACGATTCGCACTGCGCTCGTTTAACTCGTGAAGAAAGCCGCGATACTGAGCAATCTGAAATTCTCTCCCCATCATGATCTCATGACGCGAAACCATCCAGTCCCGTCTAGCTTGTGGTAATTCGTCGTCCGGAGTATCTCTTGCCCCGGGAACTCTCGCAGCAAGTAGTCCTCGGAAAACCCCAAAAAGCTCACCCGGTTGGATTGGAAGCCCGTTGAAAGCAAGAAATATGGGCAGGAGGACCACGGAGATGAAACATGCATAGATGAGGGCGACTAATAGGCCGATGGCTTGAGTTAGTATTCTCGGCATGATGTTTTCGGACTAGATTTGTGGAGTTTGGGGTTTTGTGTTAGTGGATCTGTTTGTAATATTTCACTTGGTTCTTTGAGGAATCTAGGAATGTTACAGGCAGAAGTGATTTAAGGAAGGAATATGAATCTGGACCGGGGGGTGGGATGCTTTTTATACATGTTAGGAGCTGATAACAGATTTGTTCTGGATATGTTCGGGAGTACTTCAGGAACAAATTCGAGTGTGTCAAATGTGTAGCTTGGGAAATACCTGCATTGTAGGTTAGGGGAAAACAGCAAAGAAACAATGATTACCTGGCCTTGCTGTAATTATCACTAACACATATTACACTTTCACTAGTTTGTGCACATAATCACTCATTATATTGTGTAATTAGCGGATAAGAGCATGATTTCTCGCTAGACATATATCTGAAGCAATAATTCTACTAGTAATCATAGAGTTAGATCACCATCTTCATCACTATCACCGGCTTCACAAAGCAAGAGTGATACACTTGATCATCCTTTACGCTAAAGCGATATAACCATGAAATGCGTTCACTCTTTGTATCATCCACTTTCCATACAGTTTTGGAATAAGGATTTGAGACAGAATACAGATCAGAACGTATTTCTCACCTGATTATTTCATTCTTAGATCTCGATTCTTCTCTTTGCACAAGACCTCGCATTTGTTTCAATCCAATCATCTTCTTATCGTTCTTCTTTCTGTTTTCTCCCGTTAATACAAATATCACTAGGCACTTCATAAATTCTGTAGAGCAGCAAATCAGCAATATCTTGACGAAAAACATCCTTCAAATCCCTGGTCTCGAGCCTTCTTGAACTCACCGACGACTTCAAAGTAATATTTCTGAGTCTACCCAAACTATCATATCTATACTCCCGATGGCACAGTTTCCTACGCGTGAGTCTGGAGAACTTATTTTGAATTCATTCGGAAAGTGTTCTTTACTTCCTCACATAATTCTATATTTCAGTTCCTGATCACCACCGTCAACTCTAAAGTAAAAAATTATGGACGCTGGGGTGATATGATTGCAAGTATGTTCTTCGCCCTTTTCCCCAAAAAAGATTGTATGCCATTTCACACTTACTATCATCAAGTCTCAAATCGAGAAAAAAAGTAGTAAGGTGGTATCACGATCGTGATTTTCTCACCCTCCAAGAATCCAAAACAAACTTCCTTTCTCCCGCACTCGAATCAGTATACTGATCCTCACACCCTAATTCTCGCAATCCTCGCATCAAACCTCGTGGTAACCGGCAAGTCATGATTCATGAAAACAATCAACATCGGAACTAAGATACGCCAGAAGTCGAAAAGGAGCTACTTTCTGACCTCCATTTCCACGAGGGCTTTTTGGTATATTGATTCGTATGATTCTTATTATTTCTTCAGAAATGGTAGAGAGGGAAAGGAAGGGAAGAGATTCGCCTATTTGTAGAATTTATATTATATTTGATCTGTTCAGGGGTTGTTTCGAAGCTTTTGAATTGATGGATAAAGAGGGTTGTTAGGGTTCGCTTAGTGTTTCTTTGCATCTTACTTTCATTGAGGTTTTGTACGCATTATATGCATTGTATTGATTAATTCTTGAGCACCACGGCATTCATTCTCCAAATAGGTTAACAATGAGCATTGATTCAAGCCTGATTTATATCAAGACCATTTGATATGATATTAACGTACTCTTGCCGTCATACACCCTAGAAAACAAACAGATATCTATTTCCTACCCCCGTGCTGACTTCCACTTTCAAACTCTAGAACACACTACGAATGGCTCTACAAGATCCTACGGGTCATTTTGACTAAAGCTATAAGCCTGAAAGACGGAGAGCTGCGTCGCTTACAAAGACGTAGAAAGTCAAAAGATATTACATGATCAAAATGCTCGTAATGATTGCCGTTGTTCCAAGTCTATGTATCAAAAACTCAAGTCAAATTACTCGCTTGATCAGCCTCTACAATTCACACTTATATGTCCATAATTCATATTGCATTCACAATATCACAACAATGCAAGCTCAATTTAGCTTCCAATTTTTATATATATATATTTTTTATAAATATTTTAAATCATTCCAGTACGACTACCAACGCCCTAAGACCAAATCAAAGAAGCAAGAAAAAACCCCTACAACCTCTGAAATCTCAACGCCCTAATCAGTCTCTCTAACATTCCCGCTAGCCTATCCAACACGCCTCTCCAGAGTTGCGCATGGAAAACGAGGTCAAAGAAAACGTCTATAAGTTTATCATAGAGACTCCAAATGACAATAAGAAGGAGCAAAAAGCCAAAACCAACCACGAAGCCATCGACGAAACCGCCGATCACCGATGCGATGAGGGCGTGTGGGTCGAAAGGACCGAGGAGAAAATGATAGAAGAAAGACAAAATCCCAAGGACCGAGCCGATGTTGATGCTGATGATGAATGCTTGGAGGTAGAATTTCAAGAGACATCGAGCGTGTTGATGATTGCGATTATTGTGATCGTGATCGTGCTCTTGATTCATGATGAAACTGAGTTATTTGTGTGTCTTTGGGGGTTGTCTTGTGAAGTTCTTAGAGTTATTTAGTAGATCTCAGAGAAAGTTCAAGTACTGGAGAAGAGAAGAAAAAAACATGAAGTATCGAGGAGTCATTATATATACCCAATATCTGGGACTGTTTTGATACTATTACAACTTTGTCCACATATTGTTCCAATATTGTTGTATCACCAAGGTATTCGTGTAGCCTATTCGACTTCTGTTCTGATATCGACTCCTCTAGCGTTTGACAAGTACAGTGACGATTGTAAATCCTTGAATCGACACAAATCTTCATACATCTCCTCAAATTCACCGGACCAAACTACTAATTCAGCTCTGATCCATCTGCATCAGACAAGACATCCCTCTCTCAAAGAGCGCAATATGTCCACAATCTCGGTATGAAGAGGCTTTTCCCCAGGGAACCTCTAGAGTGCCAGTTGAGGAACCATTTATGCGAAGCGTGCTGAACCAGAAGTTGGCCAATAAAAACTTACAGTACATTGATTCTGCAATCCTACAATCATAAGTTTTCCAGGCTCTTATAAGCTGCGAAGCACTCCGATACTCAACATATAATTTCATCTCGATCGGCTTAGCTGGGCCATTGGGTGTGAACAAAAGCTAACACGTTACTATTTTCATCGAGATACCGGAAATGTTGTAGATGGTAAGTCTAAATGTGCCCAAATTTGTTATATAAGGCTGATGGTTGTATAGGAGCTACTTCTACTGCTATACGTGACCATATCTTGCGACACAATCCTCACACTGGAGTATTCTCAGGATCTTATATTAATGGCAAAGTCAGGTTCATCGTTCAAGATGCAGTTCAAGACCAGCCGACGAATGTTGGATTACCATTCCAAATAATCCAGAATCCTACGCTGATTCACACTAGCTTTTGGTCCCCGTCACAGACGTAGTGAGACAAGTTTCTAGCATGTAGAAGGCTGTGCATTGATAGTAGAATAATAGTCATGTAACCGATTCATATTGAAAACGAAGAGATAGATTTTGAAAAGCTCATCAACCAGCCTCTATCACAGATATCTGAACTCATTGCTTACACTGAGCCGACACTTTTGCCGAAAAAAGCATCACGAGCTATCTCACGATCATGGCGTCTGCCTCCTGTGATCTGCTCCCAAGACTCGAAGATATGGACGCTTTTCCTTCCTTGCTCAGCAGCAATTTCACTTTCAGTATTTTGACTAATTTCTTCGAGTCGATCTTTCCAGAATTGCCATCGTCGCATGTTGAACCCGACTGCTGCCGTTCTCCACTAGCTTTTATTAGCTGTCCAGCTTCGGCCCACCCTCTATTGTCATTGGCGGAATCATCTATGGAGGAAAACTCGTTTCGAGCGCAATGGCCTAGAATCTTGTAGCTGCCATACCAGAGCCAAGCTAATACTGCGGGTAAAAACTCGGACATCGGGATTCTATTGGCATGATCTGCTGTCAAGGCTGCATCGCTTTCAAGGAGCTGTCGTGGTGTCTCAAGAGCATCTCGAAATAGCATAAGTGCACACGACATCAATTCAGAATCACAGACACCGAGAGCTGCGAGTCGGGCGGTAAAACCAGCGAGATTCTCGCGCTCAACCATGGTCATTTTCATCATCGATGTAGCCCACGCATCTCGTAGATCTGTCACCAAGAAGGGGAGATCGATCCACATCCGAGCCGAGGTACTGGTGATTGCAGATTCGACATGAACGTTCTGCTGCTCTCCGGACTGACTTTCGTTGCTCTCTCCTGCTGGCGGCACAACGATTCGAGATGTTTCTCCCAATTCACGCGCGTATATGACTTGATTGGCAAGTCGATCGGCTTCCGCTTCATTGGCGGGCGTAATTTTGGCTGTCTCGACGAAAAGGTACCATAGATCGTGAAGGTCAATTTCGAAAACATCAATGAGATGGACTGAATTTATTGAATTTACGTAGCGTTGAGTAATGCTCCGAATGAACATGCGAGCTCGAATCCAGAGCTTAGGATCATTCTTACGGACAGATTCATCAACAGAGGAGCGAAATCGTTTGGTGCTAAAGGCTGCTCGTCGCTCGACAGTGCTGATAAGCTCATCAGCCGGTTCCATTTTCTGCTCTCTCTTTCTTTCTTTCTGTTTTGCAGCTACCTCTACTTATCATACGAACCGCACAGATATTGTTATATTCGAAATGGTGAGTTGGATTGAATTGGTTAAAAAACAAGAATAAAAGAAGGAATAGCAAATATCAAATAGCAGATGACAAAAGAAGCAAAATAGAGAGAACGGATCACACATCCTTCCTCGTTTTTGTTTTCGTTCCCTCATAAATCATGACAACGTCATTATTTGTCTCTCCGCACCCAACCATAAGTAGGTACCTTAGGTACAGTCAGAATTCCCGAGTTGGAGTTAGACAGTCGCTATCTCAACCTATCGATTCATAACGCTGATGGGTGGCCCAAAAGTCGGCTCGTGCAGAGACAGCAATGTAACTTGCCACAGACCCCATCCCACATATCTCGGCTTATTCTTGTAATAATAACAGCTAATACTGACTATCTCAAGACTCACAAAAAGAGAAGAAAGAATGAAATAAAGGTAATCCCCAACAGTTGAGAATAGCCACCCACTAGGTAGGTATGTTTTATTAAAAATGATTAATTTGCACTTGTACACGAAGAAAAAATCACTACACACCTCTGTGGGGACCGTCAGAACTTATACCGTTCTTTAGCCATTAAAAGCTGCCATTAAATCATTATTTTCATTTTCTCATATCTCATACACATCGATCGATTTGTTCGATTTTTGAATGCAAACGCCTCGCCTAGCAGATGTGTCAGATCCCACACCCCAAAATGCAAAAGGATGTCCTGCTCGCCTATAAATGAGCCTTTTCATAGAGAGATAATGCCCCTTCAGAAACCAGTCTGATGCCAATGTTCATGCACTCCAAGTCTTCCATTACACATGCCAGGTCCAAACCAATCAAACAATTCTACCACCATGAAATGAAATGCTAAAAGACCGCCAGTTATGCTCCAACTTAATTTTGTTCCGAGCCCCAGTTCAACGGCGGCTATAACGACGAGAGGATACCAGATCCATCGTCTAGCGAGAGAAGAAAGACATGGTTTCGTTATCATGAAAACTTTGAAAAGGAAAATTGACACTCTAGCCAATAAAGTAACAGACTGCTTATTGTGATGAGCCCACGTTTCGCAATAGTGACGGTAGAGAGATATGCGATTCTTGAAAGAGGATACAAGGGTGGTGGGTGGTGGCATTAATAGTGGAGTGGTAATGTGAGGTTTTGTGACAGGAACAGCAGTGCGACTTCGACTGACTTCCAATGCGAGCTGGGAGGTTGGTGTGGGTGAGGATGAACGAGATGAGGTCTCGGATGAAGGATCTTCGATGTATGCTCTTGAGCGCACTCGCTTCGGTTCTCGTTCGTTAACTGGTGTTGCGGGTGGCATGGGTGAGTCAATTGCTTGAATTCTTCCACGGATTCCCGATGAACTACCATGCCGCACACGGGTTGGATTTTGTAAACCTCTTTCTGTTCTGATTGCTTCTAAGATCTCATTTGCACTAGGTCGATCGTTAGGATTGACAGCAAGTAATCTCTTGAGAAAGTTGTAGAGCTGATTTGGTAATTCTGGTCGCTCTCGTCGTTCGTCTTGAAATCCAGACCACGTGCTAATTTCAGCCCTAAGTAGATCCATGTCTTCGAAGTCTTCCTCGAAGCTGTCTGCACTCTTGTAAGGAAGTCGTCGGAAACACATGAAATACAGTATCATTCCCAAGCTGAAAATGTCAGATTTCGTAGTAAAATTTCCATATCGACCAAACTGATCTTGCTTCAAAACTTCCGGAGCACAATATGATATTGTACCTGTAGATCCTGTCGATTTCCTCACAACATTTTCCGCTTGTACTTCTCCGAAGTCGCTTATGAGGCATCTCATGTCACTTCCATCTTGATGTAGTAAGCAGTTGCTTGGTTTCAAGTCTCGATGAATATAATTCGAAGCGTGTAGATGTGCAAGGCCCGACGTAATATCCTTGAAGAACGAATAAATTTCCTCAAACTGTAATTTCCTCTGCGACGATCTCAGATCCGGTCGTTCTGCGCCCCCTCTTGACCTTCTTCGCATTTGCTCCTTCAATTGTTCATTTGTTGTCTGCATATTCGGTGTAGGCCCCGCAATATAACGCAGTAGGTCTCCGGAGTTGCAATACTGCTGAAGAATGTAGGCGCATGGTACTGAGGGACTGAACCGGTTCAATTGAACATCTTCCAGCCAGACATGTCGGTAGGAGACGAGGTTCGGGTGAGAAAGTCCCTGCAAGAGTTGAACCTCAATGAGAACTGTGGAAGTTAGTACAGAGCTTCGACGTAAAGAGAATCATAATACCTTTCTCTAACCATGCATGATCATCTCCAACTGGTACTCTCTTGCACGCAAATTGACCTACAGCCCGTTAGCACATCATTTCGTATATTCTTGGATCTTCATACCTAGAGACACCCCGTCGAGCTCATGGCGGACTAAGAGAACTACTCCCTTTCCTCCACGGCCTAATTCCTTTTCCTCAATGAAGAATCTCTTGAAGTAGTTTGGGCTGAAAGCTTCCTTCTTTATGGTATGTCCTGTTTCCACTGCTGGAGTACTTGCCACAAATTCCACAGGGTCTTCTGTATCATAGTTCGCAGATGGAGATGCAGGTTGTACGAGTCTGCGAATCGGACTGGAGGGTGGTTGCTCATTCGGACCGCTGTTTGCAGCATGAAGCATGCGAAAGTATTCTGGAGCTATGAAAGCATTTGCACGAGCGGAAGAAGTAGGCTGCTGTCGTTCGGGAGAGGGTGCGCGCAATGGGCGATGACATGTCGGGCAATCATTCAAGGCGAGACCGGGAGGGGCACTTCGAAGAACTAGTTGTTGAGTATTGGGATCTCTTATGACGATCGCATCATCATGACGACTATAACACTAAATATTAGCATGCATGTGCTAGCTAGCTTCCAGCTTCTAATTCATTCCAATGCCCTCAGCAGAAAGAAAAAAAATGAGGTAGAACCTACAGTACAATCTCTCGACTGTCTCGAGATGAATATGGGACTAAAGACATGGTAGAGACGGGAGTTGGAGCTTGTGAAGTTAAGCAATTGATTGATGTTATAAAACAAGATCTTCTCAATCTTTTTATGTCACATTGTTCACTGTTTGAGTGGATGTTTTATAAGATAAGTCAAGTGTGTATACAAGAAGTGTACATGCAGCGATTGCAGTAATGTGAAGAGACACAATATTTCCATACCAAATGCAATTCCCAATAAACTTTTTATCTTTCATATGTCGCCATGACATGTTCATCCATGGATGTTCATATTCATGTTCATGTTATCGGGTCGGGGCGATCATTCTAGCGACTGCCATTGTTGTCCAGGCGTTTCCCTTTCCCCACATGCTTAACCTCAGCCTCACTACGAGTAAAATGTCGATTTTATAGGTTTCTGTCACTCCGTACCCATTTTTATATCCAATCTTCAATCTTCAATCTTCAATCTTCAATCTTCAATCTTCAACATTTACGACGGCATGCAACCATGGCTTTGAATTTACGAGGATTTGAAGTTACGGGGCCTTCAAATTACGAAACCTTCATCAATTACCATAAGCTACGTGTGTTGTCACTGAGGCATACAATGAGTCCTTGAAGATTCAATCAACTGTCGATGACTTGATGGATGACTTCGTGACTCTGTTTACGGAGTGAAAACCTCAAAGTAACAAGAACGGCTGGCACGCGGCGGGTACCTACATCTATCCATCACGTTTAAATCAAATATTCCGTATCATTACCCTATGATTCACATGTGGGCAGATAGTATGGAAGTTGTCTCAAAGAATGAGCTCCATTATCTCAACCTCTCAATGCTAGACAGCATTAAACTTATCTGACATTGATGCTCGGGGTTTGATATCACTACTACTCAACTAATATTTACACTGGGTCCTCAAACCCTGACAACGGATGTAACAATGGAATGCTTTCAGGAAAGGTCATTAAGAAAGCCATGCCGAAGATAATCGGCGAGGATTGTTTCAATGTCTTACTGTACCACATGATCACCTTGACAACATCCACCAAAGATTCTCCTATGCCCCATATGAAGTTGTTCATTCTACTTCGACATATGCTGGGCCTAATAATACATCTCGCGCACATGGCAACGCGATTATGTACGGGTCTCGCATGCTTTGTACTGAATTCGGAGGTTAATATGCAGCCTGCCGCATTAATCAAACATGGTATATTCCTTCTCGAAGGCGGAAGCCTGCAGAGAATTATTCGGGGACGGTTGATAATCCCGACGACTGCGAGTTTAGTCAGAGTAGAAACAAAGAAGATCAATAGATCTTATCTTATGACCATCGAGCAGTCTTGCACCAGATCGCTTGTAAATATCGGTTGATTCAAGATGTATTTGGCTTCCGAGGAACTACTAACCGTTCAAAGTTTTGAAGTCCATTTTGAAACGACGAAGTTCTTTGTTTCCAAATTTGGATCTGGATCCTTCCTTACATACTCCGGCTTGTACCTTAACTAGTTTGAGGCCACAAACGAGTACATCTATTGGATAGTATACAGAAGCTCTAATTTTGCCAAGGGCCAAAATCTTCGATAGAACAAAGGGTGAAGTTCACATTGTTCTATTGCAACTTCTAGAAACTTATCTTTATTGAAAAGAATTATTTTGGTGCTTCCATTTTCTTGATGAAGCATTACATATAAATTTGAAAGCCAGAGATGACGGAATGAATCTTCAAGTGCAGGCGGTATGGGTAATGAATGCTTGATAATCGGTGTAATAATCATTGTTGTTACGGTCATTGGAGGTGCCATTAGCTTTTTCGTATGGTACCAATTACGAAGATCAAGACAGTACAATGGAGAAATACAGATGAACCCTCTACAAGAACGCCGTTCAGATGGTCGACGTGGACGAGTACATGGAGAAGATCGCCGCACACAAAATCGTCATCAAGGCAGCCCGGGTTTGGCCGACATTATTGGTAACTCTCTTGACCGTCCTAGGGATAGGACAGAGAGTAATAATCGTCGAAGCCTAGTAGATATTGTAATTCCACCACCCAAACAACGTAGAAAGGCATCTGCAGCTCGTTTGAAGAAAGCGAAGAAACGAGACATCGCCGAGGAACCACAAGATGGGCCAAGTACAGCTAATGCTGCAAATCGGTCGTCAGATGGCGTGCGTATATCCACTACACATGATGATCAGTCTACAGTAGGAGTTGGAGTAAAAGGAAAAGGGAAACCAGCCCCCGAAAAGTTTCAAAGACCAGTCGTCTCTCCTGAGAATTTCGACACTCCTCTCATTACAGTCGAATCTTCTCCAAGCTGTTCTCAAGAAGAGGGCAGTCTTAGATCAGAGTCTTAACCGATCGAACTAGCAAAAATGGGGGACAGCTAATATGCTGATAAATCATGTCAATTTGTAATCTCGGGAAATAATGACAGCGATTTTACCGAACCCTGCATTGCCCACTGCTAAACAAAACAAGGGGAATTGCTTGCGGATCGAAATGTAAGATCCTCCCCTTATATATCAAGCTTCAGTTAAGATATTGGCAAATCTTTGGAGTATGGAAAATGATCAAGTCCGAACCCAGTAAATATTAGTCAATGTAAAGGAGAATTATGATATGACACAAAAAGGAAGACAGGGCTGTCTATATAAGGTACACTATATCCTGAGGTGGCAGACTGAGGTTTCTTGTGATACTATTTCTCATTCCAATCATCACACAATATTGAGGGAATAAAAGACAAATCGCCTTGCTAAAATATGTCGAAAATTATTGTTATAACCAGTGTCACCGGTGCCCAAGTGCTTATCCCCATAACTCTCAGATTTACAAATACTAAACAAAGATAGGGATCATCAATTGCTGAGACATTTCTCCGCTTCCCAGAATGGCGAGTTCGAGGCACAACGCGCAATCCAGCAAGTCCGGCTGCTCAAGTATTAGCAGAAAAGGGAGTCGAAATCGTTCAAGCGGACTTTGATGACAGACCATCACTTTCTTCAGCTTTCCAAGGAGCTACTGTAATCTACTCCAATACCGATTTCTTCGTGCATCTCTTCACAGGCATATCCACAGGCGCGCCTCCTGGCCGCACAGTCCTCGAACACGCATATGATCGGGAAGTTGCTCAAGGGATCAATATCGCAGAAGCAGCCGCTTCACCGAGCGTTCTCGAAACATTGGAATATTTCATATACTCCTCTTTGAGCGATGCAACGAAATGGAGTAAAGGTAAATATACCTCGGTATATCATTTTGATTCGAAAGCAGAAACAGTCCGGCAGATTGAATCTCGATTCCCGGATTTGGCAGCGAGAATGAGTACCCTCCAAATGGGATATTATGTCACGAACTGGAAAGCTTTTCCACCCATGGCACCGCAGAAACAGGACGATGGGAGTTTTTTGTTCGAGAGACCTTTGAGTCCAGATAGTGTGGTGGAATTTGTCGTGACGCAGAGAGATACGGGAGGGTTTGTTAAAGCGTTGATTGAGATGTCGCCGGGAAAGAATCTCATAGGTGTTTCGGAGAGAATGACTTGGAAAGAGTGGACGAAGATTTGGGGGGGATGTTTTGGGAGTCAAGGCTGGGTTTAGACAGGTCTCTGAAGAGACGTTTTGGAAAGGAGTACCGGATGCTATGAAGGAGTTGCAGGTTGCTTGGGAGTATGTGGATGAGTTTGGTCATGCGGGTGGGGATCCGGAGGTTTTGAGACCGGATGAGGTGAGTTTCTTTTTTTACTTTTTTCTTTCTTAGATTGGGTGGTGAGAGATACAGTGCTGATATTTAGTGTGTAGCTCACTGTCAAGATCCCCGTGACGTCGATGGAAGAGTATATAAAGAGTGAAGACTGGTCAGCTGTCTTGAATTCTTAAAGAAGGAACTTTCTATTTATAGGAGCAACTAAATTTCCATTTTTTTTATATCTATGGCACTCAAGAGATACAAAGCCATCCGAAATGGTAATTTTATTATATAATCAATGATGAATCATCTTCTTTCCCGCTTTCAAAGCCCCTCTCACTGATCTCCTTGTCTTTCAACACGCATCGAAATTCGGGGTTGTAAGTAATGATGACTTGGGCTGGGATGGCCATCCTACTTCGGTTTGTGGTATTTTACTTGTTTGCTATGTTTGTTGACTAGCTTGTATTGAAGATTGGTTCCAATATCTGTTGCTATCACAACGGCAAAGACAATGTCTTCTTCAAAAACCTTGAAGAAGATTACAATGATTTCATATGGCCTTTTTAAGCTCAGACCTAAGGCCTACGAGCTGCGAGTGTTCTATGTAGTTTGAATCGTCTGGGGCCGCACAAAATCACGTATACATATTCACTCGTACTGTAATAGTATCGGGCATAGGTATCAAATGATGGATTGGTATGGATGCGCTCTTCCAAGAGAAATGATATCATCCCGTAATAATGAGTCTGGCTGATTGAATATCGAACCATCATTCTATTGTACCAAAAATATGTTTTAATACGGTTCATTGTATAGTCCCGCTTCGTTTATAATTTAGCTGCAGTAGTGAAGATTTTTTACAGCGGGTATGTTCTATTTAACTCACGAATATCATCGACCAAGTCCAAACTACTCCTTCATCACCATTCTCAACACCATCAGAATCTCAATACTCAATACCCAACATCTTATTTGGATATATCCACAACAACACTATGTCTACCAACAACTCCCAGGTACTAGATTCTCACGAATCCAGCCCAGCATTACACAGCCCCGAAGATAGCGGCAGCGACGATACAAGCAATACCAGCCCTCCAAGATCCACAATTCCGAAGACACTTTCCGAGCTCCACGATCAAAACATCCAACTCCATGATGAACATCTGGAGCTACGCTGTCAAAATGCCGAGCTCAAGGATAAAAACGATAAGCTCCAAGAGCAAAATACCCAACTCCAGGATGAAAATACTAAGCTCCGCGCTCAAATCACCCAAGACCAGGACAAAAATGCTGAGCTCCGGATTCAGAATGCGCAGCTGCAAGCTCAAGTTGAGAAGCATGTCGCTATTGCGCGAATGCGAGAGCGATTGGTGCAGCCTGTTAAACAGGATAAGCAGGATTTTGAATGGCATTTTTGGATCTGGTGGATGATATTCGCCTGGGTACTTTTTACGTTTTGAGGATACCTATTTAGGTACATGGATTTTTAGGGTGGAGAAAATAAGGAGTGGTGTGTGGATTTTGGGATGTTGGGGAGGTTGGGAGGATTGATGGTAATCTTTTGGTTGGGTTATTAGGGTTGATTGGCTTATTGATTTTGGGCTGGAGAGTTGATAGGGTCAATGCTGGATTGATACGGGGGGGGGGGGCAACTAGGTGTTGACAGCAGGTTGGAAGGGTTCAATCTGTCTGTCAGGGTCCGGTTAGATGAATAAATTATGATACAGAGAAATGTCTTCATTTGGCATATACTTGTAGCTTGTCAATCACGAGATAAATGAAAGACTAGGTATGGTGGATAACTAAATATCATTTGCGTTTTCTCATTATACTCTTGATGTTTAAAGAATAGCGAGTTTAGTTGTATGATTATTGATCTTAATTTGTGTAATACATTACAAGTTTACATGATGATGATGATGCCATGTCCATGCAAAGATGGAAGTATAAGTGAGATTTAATGCTAATATGTATTTAGTACCTGAGGAATAGGATGTTGGGAGCGGAAAGGGGGATGGAGGTCGTTAGGTTGAGATAATATCTTTGGTTTTGATCAAAAATTATTGAGCGGACTAGACGTTCGTTACATACTTTTAATCATCCTTGGATATTCTAATGCTTTAGAATTGAGGTCCTCGATCTTCTGTACCACTTAAGGTCGATCAATAGTGCGCTGCAATAAAGCTGATATATCATCCTCAAATGTCCCCTTGAGGGACCACAGCCTGTTACCTTACTTGATTCCATGCCACACTAACTCTCAATTCCCCCAATACAATTTTCTTTTATCGAGATGATGATCCATTCGCGAGCTGCACGGGTGAAGTTGACGAGAAAGTATATCAGAATGAGGGTTGGTAGTCTATGTTGGAATTCTTCAAAATGAAAGGCAGGAGGGGGTCTGCGTTTAATAGAGTACCTTTTTCTATGTATTTTTTTTTACAAGGGTGTTGTCAGTATCGAGATACTACGAGAAACGCAATCTATCGGTGGAAATTAGATACCTTTTGTACCACAGAATTGAGAACTTTTAAGGCATCTTTATACTTGCGTACAAGCGGGTCGTTTTTCGAGGAGACAAATAAAGACTCAAAGTTACAAGAGACTTCCCCAACAGAAGCTTCCACTTGTAGGGTCTTTGATGTGTATTATTAGTTACTGCTCGAAGGAAGATCGACTTTTCAAGAAAGATGTACCTTTTTCTGCAAATCCTTTCCAAAACTTGCAGGACAAGAGTAAAAACTGATTTAAGATGATAGTCAGCCGTTTAAATTCCCTGTCTGCCTTATCAAAAACGAAATGTTTAATCTGAGCAGAAAACATGCTGTCATCCTGTCGTTCGGACTAGGAATAGCCTCCGCTGTTGCTTCGAAGTTGTATCGCTCTCGCGTGTCTACTCAAGACTTGTCTAACTGTGCCACTGAGGGGACAAGAAAAATAATCAAGGATAACGCAGGTGGCGAGCATCAAAAGGACCCTTCAGGAAGCCACAGCAGTGAACTGACGATCCGCCAAAATCAAGGGCTGGGTATATCTTGTACATGTCTACCAGGCGCTTCCGAGATAATCAGCTTCCAAGAAGTCAAAGAGATCATGTCAGCCTTCAAAAAAGCGGGCGAAAACGATTGTAAGGGATCCCAACGACGTGTATATCGGGACAAGATAATCGAAGGGTTCCGTTTGGGTATCGAGAAATTGCCATGTGAGACACTCGAAGAGATCTACGAGTGCATCATTGAGAAAACTTCTCAGAAGAACGGAGCATGAATAAGCAAAAAGAAGTGAAGAGATAGATGGGAGAGCAGCTGAGAGACTTCATATGCAGCCGAGGATTATGTACATCGTGAAACGTCCTGCACTAGCTGGTCTAATCTACTTGTTAGTGAGTAGAGAAGAAGGGGAGAGGGGGTGCAGAAGAATGGCAAACTTCTAGAGCAAATGATACTAAAGAAAGGAAATGAATTCATACTAAGTAGACATATCGAGCAAGTAGAAGGTATTCAATTGAGAATTTCCCAGTTGCCCATGAAGCGTGAATCAATGATGAATTTTGAAGTTTCATTTCGAGAGCTCACTAAGAATCCATTGTGTTGATCTCAGACAACAATCACTTGACCTATCGAATTTCAAATACATAAGGTGTTCTGATTTTCAATTGATGAATATTCATGTTTGTTCGTTGACAAATAGATGGAGGAAAGAAACTCGCACACCTTTTAATAAGTAGAAAGGATTCACCGCCATTGTGGCAGAATTTTGGAGAAATTTCGCAAAACTCCCCATCTATCTAGAGAGTGGTCAACTGGAATACATTCACGACGGTCATGGTATTTTGTCTTGGATATTTCTGATATCAAACTACTTACATAAACATGCAGATATTGGTCAAAATCTGTCAATACCAATGTCTTCTTTCAAGGTTAGCAACGGCTTCAACAATGCTAAAACTCGACGTGAACACCAGCTCACCTGCTTCAATATAGCATAACCACTCATTGAGCCCAATTCTGGCAGTGGAATTTTACCATGCTTCTACTGGTAAATTGTTAATCCTTGCGGCTGAGGGTTCTTTTTTAAAGATTTATGATGCCAAAACTTCCAGCCAGATTGGTCAATGTAGAGTCTTTGACTCGCAGGCGATTCACGGTATCATTATTAGAGAATTGAATAATGATTCCACAGACGATTTACAGGTAGTTATTTGGGGTGGCCAATGTTTGACCTTAATCCGCAAATCGCAAATTGAGGAAATCATATCTCAACATGTGACCAGTATCACGGAAACTGCAACATCAGCCAGTGACTGGGTTCTCAGTGTTGCTTTTTGTCCTTGGGAAAATGATGGCTGTGTCATGGTCACTGCTCACAATGCAATGGTTCAAGCAACGCTATCAAAAGAAGACAGAATCATAAGATTGCGTCAACTACAACCTTCTTCGCGATCTATGTTGTACTCTGCAAGTCTCGTTTGCGAGAATCAAGATACTGTCATAGTTGCAGCAGGAACTATCTTTGGCGAGGTCATTGTTTGGAAATGTGTTGCTGCTGAAGATAACTCTACATTCCACAATGAAGCCCTCTTTGTTTTCACTGGTCACGAGGGTTCCATTTTTGGAGTGGATATATCTCCACCGATCATGGGCCGTGATGGAAAGACCACACGATTGCTAGCGAGCTGCAGCGACGATCGTACAATACGGATATGGAATCTTGCGGAGGGCTCGCAAAATGATGCAGATACTATGAAGCTAGCTGCTGACTTACTGCCAAGAGAGACAGGCTTTGAGAGACAGCAAAACCCCAGCAAGACTCCAATGGCTTCAACCGATGTATTGCGGTAACAATGGGTCATGCGTCTCGTATATGGGGTATCAAATTTCACTGCCCTGATATTTCAACATTCGGCACCTTGCCAATCACTATTCTTTCTTTTGGAGAAGATTCAACAGCACAGCAATGGACACTAGAACTTGGGAGCGAGCTTCAAAATGGAAGCAAAACCTCTAATGTTTCTAAACCTAGCTCAAATAATCTTGCTAAGTTAACACATATCAAGACATTTGCATTCCATACTGGAAAGCACATTTGGTCAGCAGCTATTACTCAAATAGAAAACAATCAGAATTTACTTGTCACTGGTGGAGCAGATGGAAAGATCTCAACATATTGTTTTGAAGAGGAGAGAAAAACAAATCCAACTCCTATCGACGGATCGAGCAATAATGCCGTGGAAGACTCTGCAATGGACAATTTTGTCGAAGGCTCATATTACTCGGTAGCTTTCGAGCTCGAAGATGTGTTGAAATCTCTTACTAACGTTGAAACTTGTTCCAATCAGGAACATGAGCAAGAGTCCGTCGTATCGAAGAAGAACAAGAAGGCGCCCAAAGATGCTTTTAACCGCTATGCATTCGTATCCGAAAGTGATTTCCTGATTACGACAACATTTGGAAGAATTCTCAAGGCCACTGTTAGAAATCCGGTTAAGTTCGAAGAAATTTTTCTACCCGAATCCAGTACTCAAGACCTCAAGTCATATTCTATTTTGAAAGGAAACTCAAATCTGGGATTATGTGTCTTGGCGGGCACTACAGGGAAGATATTCTTGTATCAACCAGGACTGCCCATTGTTCGAATAGGACAAGTTGAGCGAAAACCATCGGATGTTTTCATCGTCCCAGGGAACGATAATAAATCAGTTGAATTGTTGGTTACATTGTTAGGGAGTCAAGAACTGACAATATTGTCTTTTGACCTGGAATCTTCTGGGTCACAACCTATTATCGACAGAAGGACTCTCTCGTTACCCCCGAAATTTATAGTCACAGGTGCTGGTACATGTAACGGCAATCTTATCATTGGCTCTAGAGAAGGCCAAATCGCGGTACAGGACACCAACATAAATACGATGAGCACCTGGAACTCGCCTGGCAAAAAAGATGCTATTACTTCCATTGTTGCTATACCCAAGACCGATTCTCAGCAAATCACAAGTTATTTCGCAATCACAAGTCGGGATGGGTTATATGCCATATTTTCATACAACAATCAAGCTACGCCAAAAATTTCGCGCGTACATTCTGCTGCACCACCATTTGGACCCATGATTGAAGCTTGTTGGTTTCAAGGTTCTGATTTAATTCTATATGGATTTAAAAGCAAGAGTCTCATCGTATGGAACGAGACGAAACAGTCTGAGATTGTGCGTATTGATTGCGGAGGTGCACATCGAGCTCATGCTTATTCTCCATTCGAGGGAGTGCAAGGAGGTGGTAGTGGTCATTTGATATATACAAAAGCATCACAACTATTCCTTCATTCCCAAAAAGTTCCTTCTCATCGCACCATTAAATCCGGTGGCCACGGGCGAGAAATAAAAACCTGTGCAATAGGAGGCTCTCCCCAAATGATAGCAACCGGTGCTGAAGACACAAATATCAGAATCTGGCGTTACGAAAACAACCATATTCAAACCCAGGATCAAACCCTCACCTGTCTCTCCACAATCCAAAAACACACAGCAGGTCTCCAACATCTTCACTGGCACAACTCGCACTATCTCTTCAGCAGCGGCGGCGTCGAAGAATTCTACATCTGGCGCATCCAATCCATCCCTGGCTTCGGTCTCGGAGTCATATGCGAAGCTTCTTGTCCCGATCCTACTGCCGAACAGGATCTACGCATTATGTCTTTTGACGTATCTGATCTTCCTGGAAGTGATCACGAAGAAATGATCATCACGCTTGCGTATTCAGATTCGACCATGCGCACATATCTCTACTCGAGAATCGGCGGATGGAAATTACTGCTTAGGGGTCAATATACATCTGCATGTTTAATGCAAATAGGCCATCTACACATCTCTCGCTCGGAACTCACGTTCCTAACTGCGGCTACGGATGGAAGTCTCTGTATCTGGAGCGCTCCTCTCGATCTCTCCCATCAACCTCAAGACCCTGCAGAAATTCCAACCTCCCTCCCACAAATCTCCAAACCCATCCTCATCTCCCACACCAAGACCCATCAAAACGCCATCAAAACCCTCGCCTTCAAATATGTCTCCGCTGCATATCTCGTCGTCATCACCGGCGGCGACGATAACGCAATCGGTATAACACTGTATCCCATCTCCATCTCCTCTCCTGGCCTCAACACAAATCCCCATACTTTCCAGAACCCCATCACCATACTCCTCCCCGATGCACACGCAGCCGCTGTTACAGGCTTAGTATTTATCCCTCATCCTCATCTTTGTTCTGCAGATACTGCAGAGGAGAAGAAAGAGGATATGTATATCGTATCTTCTAGTACCGATCAGCGGGTCAAGACGTGGCGGGTTGGGATCTCTCGTTCCTTTACAGCTATATCTACAGCTACATCTACATCCACAGGTGCAAGAGAAGAAGAGACATGTCCGGTAGACATCGAGATGATTGGGGATGAATTTACGGCGGTGAGTGATATTGGGGATGTGGGATTAATTCCTGGGGTTGATGGGAATGGGAATGAGACGAAAGCGATTATTGTAGGGAATGGAATGGAGATATGGGGGTTAGGAGAGACGAAGTAGAGTTTTGAGAGTGATGGGCGTGGAAGATAGTATAGCATGATATGATACAAAATAGATATGAAAAGGGAAAATATTCTTTAAGAATTCATTACATCATTATTCTAAAAAGCTGCGAGCCAACTACGATAAATGCCAATTAGCTAGCTAGCCATTCTACTCCTCTTTCTCCATGCTTTAATTTCCTTCAGCACATTCATAACCAGCGGTACACCCACTGGCCCTAATAATGGCATGTAAACCGCGACTTTGTGTTCATCCGGGAAATACACCTGGCCCACCATACTCTTTTCGAAGAATGCCTTTTCTGCCGCCTCTTCCGCGATACGTGCATGAACCAACCCGTCATTGCCTCCTAGTCCATCACATGCTTTTCTCAAATGTTCGATAGTTGTGTAGACGCCATCTTGCACGGATTCCGGTATACTAATCGAGGGGAGCGCTTTAGTTAATCGCGCTAGACTTCCCAGTGTTCCGCTTGCTTTCAGGAGAAGACCTGCGCTACGTACACGCACTAGTGTCATTAAGCGGAGAGGAAGAGATCCGGTTTCGGGGGCACCCATCAGAGACATTAGTTGAGTTGAGAAAGTAAGCATCGCGGGGCGTAAATCTGAGATGTCGGATTGGATTACGACGCCACCCCATTGAGGGATCAACCAGCTCTTTCCACCTCCTTCGACTTCCATATCGCCTGCATAGAGAATGAAATTGATTGTTGGGGCGCCGCCAATACTGGGACTTAAAGGCCATTCTGCGGCATTGATGAAGCCGCTTAGATCCTCTTTTCGTAGGACATTTCCGCTAACACCAGGGGTAGCGTAAAGTTGGACTTGGGTATCGATTGTGAAGTTGCTGATTGAAGTAAAGCTATCAAGTAATGGTTTCATGTGTTCTTCCAGCGCAGCTTCAATATCCCAAGATGAGGGAGTGGCAGTTGGAGTAAAGAGGGAAAAGGTCAAATGATAAGTCCCAGAGTATTTCAATGAACGCGTTGTCCATTTGGCTAGAGTATCTGCCACTTCTGGCGCCAACGCTTTTGGACTTCTTTCTGGCGGAGCAGAACTAGTAGAAAGTAGATATGCAATCATAGCTTGTTCTTCGGCAAACACGCCCCTCAATGTATTCGCAATATACGTCGCTAAAGAAGAAGTTGATGACGAACTCGAAGGGATCTGATTTGGAGGATAGTATACATCTAAAATGGGCGCGTATGCTTGTAAATTCGCCGACGACGCTGTTCCAGGTAAAAGTCTAATAGTCAAAGCAACATCCTCTCCCATGCCTCCATATGAGAACCCATTTGTCGTCGCGGAAGCATTGTTGGGCGGGGAAAGCTGCAATCGTAGATGATGTGCGGAGAAATCATTTAAATCATCTAACGCATGTTGTGTAGTTCGTAGAAGATTTTGAGCTTCGTTCTCTTGTAATGACTCGGCTTCTATTGAGATTGTGAGTGGAAATACTGGTCGACATGCCTACATTCTTCAATTAGTTTAAGCTGTCTATGTGTATGAAATTAACATACTCTTCCTTCGGCCCAATCTGTCATCTGATCTAAAGGTAATGGCGCTCTATAAATGGTGGTTGTCCTCCACCATATTGGCACACCAAGTAACAATATAATAGCCCAGAATGAAATTAGAACTTGGATTCGCATGCGAGCATTTTCGGGCTTCTCAGGAGGTGGTTCCTTTCTCTTCTTCACTGCTGTCACAGCATTTTCGGGTGATTTATCATCATTAAAGATTTTTACATCTTCACCTATAGTTTCTGTCGGACCTGAGGATGCAGGTTCATTTGTTGATATTGACATTATGAAGTTTGGATGTCCATTTGTTGATAAGCAGGTACCTGGGTAGGTATGTGTTGATATCGTGGAAGTTCCGCGTTGCGTTTGGATGCGCCGCTATTTGCGACAAGCAAGTTTTAGCGACGAGAAGGCTGAGGTGAAATGAATGAGATGACAAGGCTGGATAGAAGTGACAAGGCTGAGCCGATGCTTCCATTGAAGGCTTGAAGCATAAGGTTAAAGTTGCGTTCTAAGCCTTGAATATCGGGGACCAGCACACACTCGTGACACTCTCACTAAAACACCTAGTCGAGCTAGTACCCACGCCCGTAACCTACTCTACTACCCCTACCAAGGAGTTTCCGTCATATGTCAAACTTCATTGAGGAAATGATCCGAAGATCCCCAAAAAACCGTTAATTGATCAAGTTCTAATTCATCCAACCAAACATATGAAATCAATCAGCGAATCCACCATCCAAGGAGGGTCTTCATTCCATCAGTTGTCGTACGAGGCCAATTATCATCCGCCCAGATCCGTCCATATCCACACATATCCATACACGAAGAGTGCAGCCATACAAACAAACGCTTCAAGAGGACGGAGAAAGATGTCTATCTGTGAACTCCACATGAATCGCATAAATTGCCAATTTGTGCTATGATTCGTAAGTAAGAGGAAGAGACGGTGCAATGACCCCAAACCCTGACTCTGCACTGAAAATTATCGTCGGATATGGAACCGCTTTCGCATCATCTCCAGCTTATTCGTTATTACATTCCGAGTACAATGCCTCAGAATAAAGCCATACTGTGCGAGGAAGCCATCCTCCGTGCCGAGGCACACATACCATTTGAGGAATGAAACTCCCCAAAAGGGTCCAACGGCGAGATGTTCGCATGCATATTACCCAGACTTCACCCATATTAATATGTGTACGGTAAGTTTTTAAGGTACAGTCTTTCTCACATCTCTTACTTGCTCTCGTCCCTTTCTCCGTTCAAGATACTTTTTTCGCCTTGAATTCACTCTTTAGATTAATGCATTTGGGATTTTATAACTGCATGAATATCGAGTCTCTTATCTAGGCAATCGATTTTAACAGCATTGCTATTCTATCCTCACTTGAAAGTTGGACTGTTTCTTGAAGACAGCATCCAAAGGTTAATTGACTACCAGATACCGTAGTCTTACGGAGCTCTATCAGTCTTCGTCTGACAGCTGAAATACTTTCACGACATTGTTATCAGAATGCCAAGTCAGTTTACATCGCTCCGGCCAACAGAATGAGTTCGAAATACTAACAATTCAATAGTTCCATTGGCTTTAGCAGCTCCAGCAGCTTTGGCTGGTTTGGCATACGCCAATGCGAAACTTTCTTTGAGCTACGATTATCAATTGTTGGGTGCTGCATTAACAGCATATTCCTTTACCAGTAAAAGAGAAAAAGATGATCGTCTTAACACGTTTTATGTACTCGAGGAGCATGCGAAAGGAAAATTCGCAAACGACACATTTATCATATTCGAAGGCAAGAAATGGACATTCAAGGAAACGTACGATATAGTCTTGAAATATGGAACATGGCTGAAGAATACCCATAATGTTAAGCCGGAGGAAATCGTTGCTATGGATTTCACCAATTCAGATAATTACTTCTTTCTGTGGTTTGGGTTATGGAGTATAGGTGCCAAACCGGCCTTCATTAACTACAATTTGACGGGCAAGGCATTGTCCCATTGTGTCAAAGTCTCCACTGCAAGGTTATGTATCGTGGATCCAATGGTCGAAGAGAAACTGACGCAGGGAGTTCGGGATGAGCTTCCGGATATCTCTTTTCAAATTCTCACTCCTGATGTAGAGGCTACGATCATTTCCACTGAAGGTGTTCGAGAGCCGGATTCTACCAGATCCAAGCAAACAAAGTCAATGATCGGAATGTTGATATACACTAGTGGTACTACAGGCTTACCAAAACCAGCAGTCCTGGCTTGGGGTAAGGCAAACTTTGGATCGACTATCATGCCAAAATGGAGCGGATACAAACGACCCGATGTCTTATATACTGTGCGTCTACCTCTTTCATTTTGTATTTTGAAATACTAATTTCCGTAGTGTATGCCTATGTACCATTCTGCTGCTAGTGTTCTTGCTGTCTTAGCAGCTTTGAACATGGGCGCAACAATATGTATCGGCAGAAAATTTTCCACAAAAACATTTTGGAAGGAAGTTCGAGAATCAAACGCGAATGTTATTCAATATGTCGGGGAAGTCTGTCGCTACCTCTTATCCGCACCTCCTCAATACGATCCCGTGACAGGCGAAAATCTAGACAAGAAAAATAACGTCAGAATGGCGTTTGGCAATGGCCTAAGACCTGATGTATGGAACAAATTCAAGGAACGATTCGATATCAAGACTATCGCCGAATTTTACTCCGCTACTGAAGGTGCAGGAGCTGGCTGGAACTATTCTAATAACGAATTTAGCAGGGGTGCAGTAGGTCGTAACGGATTTATTTACTGGCTCGTATTGAGGAAAGGGTGGGCTGTGGTCGAGTTGGACGTTGAAACGGAACAACCCTATCGATCGAAAGGTACCGGATTTTGCACCAAAGTACCTTATGGAACTCCAGGAGAAATGCTGTATAAGCTTGATCCCGCCGATATAAGTGCAGGCTATCAAGGGTATTTCAACAATGAAAGCGCCTCCGATAGTAAAGTATTACGAAACGTTTTCGAAAAGGGTGATGCATGGTTTCGAACAGGCGATATTATGACATGGGAAAATGGTGAAAATGTCTTCTTCAATGATCGAATCGGTGATACATTCCGCTGGAAATCGGAAAATGTATCAACAAACGAAGTCGCAGAAGCGTTATCCACTCATCCGGCTATTCAGGAGGCAAATGTCTATGGAGTTTCCCTGCCCCATCATGATGGACGAGTAGGTTGTGCAGCTGTTATTCTAAAAGATCACAATCCAAACATTATGAAAGATTTGGCGATCCATGCGAAAAAGTCACTGCCAAGTTATGCGGTACCAGTGTTTTTGAGAGTTAAGAAAGAGGGAGAGGAAATGGAGATTACCGGGACGGTAAAGATGGTTAAACATGTGATTCGGAAGCAGGGGGTGGATCCGAAGGCGATCGAAGAGAGTGGGGATCAGATGTGGTGGTTGAGAGGGGATGAATATGTAAAGTTTGGAGAAAAGGAGTGGAATGAATTAAATGGGGGCAAGGTTAAACTTTAGGAGAGCGTGTTTTGAGCTTTGAATTTTGAATCTATGAATTCGGATAGGCGTTTGAGCGATGGGATGGAATTGGATCAATGGGAATGTGTTTGGTGTTTGGTACTGGAAAGATACTGGTTGACTGGTTGTTTTTATTGCACTATTTGAATCAGAAGAGAGAAATAGATTTACGAAAATTTGTTTTTATCTAATATATGCATTGTGTAAGTTACAATTGGTTTCGACTGATATCACAAGTAGCTGTGTGCAGACCTCAGAGTTGAGGGTTGTATTTAATGATATTTGAGTGTATCGACTTGAGATTATCAATGCGTTTCCTATTCAGATTGTTACCCATAACAATAAGCAGTATGGGAAAGTACATAAGAAAGAGAAAGAGATGGAAAAGAAAAGAAAAGGAAAAGGAAACAGAAAAATAAGAGGACATTGTTGCCAGTCTTCGCACACGATTCAGAGAAACAAGTTTCTTCGCCAACCACCCTAGCTATCATGATTCTGTTACGCAACTATATCCATAGTGCAGAATCTTAAAGTTCGTGCCCAAACCCTAAATCAATCCATCACGTCCCCACCCTACCGCTCCCCCTCACCCCCTCAATCTCAACCACCCCCCTTTCCTCCACTTCACCCCCTCCCTGCCATACAGCAAGCCCTCTCTCCTCCCCCCATCCTCCACACTCTTCAGCATCTCCTCCAACATCCGAAAATCAATCGGTTTGAGGATCCAACCGTCGAAACCACGATCAATATACTCATCTCTTTTTGTTTCTTCAAGAGAAGCCGATACGGCGATGATGGGGAGTCGACCGTAGAGTGCTGCGCGTGGAGAGATGGGGGGGACGGGGAAAGTGCTGGTTAGGAAGGAGCGGATTAGGGTGGTGGAGGAGAAGCCGTTGAGGATGGGCATCTGTGGGGTGGGGTGGGGTTAGTGTGGTTTCGGTATTTTATGGGAGTGTGGAAGTGGGGAGGAGGGGGGAGATGTACTTGTATATCCATCAAAATAATATCGAAACCATCTGGTGTAGCCATCACAGCTTCCGCACATGCTTGCCCGTTAATTTTCACCGTCACCATGTGTCCTCTTTTCCTGAGACGTTCTTCTAAAAGTCGACTATTCAGCGGGTTGTCTTCCGCGACGAGGACATTGAGATTGCGGATCTCGGGTTGGGGAGGCAATTCCATGATGGGGAAGGGGTATTGCAGTTGGTAATCGGGGTTGGTGGTTACGGATTTGGTGGAGAGGGATGTGGAGAGGGATGTGGAGAGGGGGGGAGAAGAGTGCGAGCAGGTGCTGGGTGTGGGGGTTGATGAGGGAGAATCGATGATTTCGGTTGTGGAAGTAAGGAAGGGGTCTTTGAGGGGTGTGGAGAGGGGGTGAGAGATGGAAGGAGAAGAGTGCAAGCAAGTGCTGGGTGTGGGGATTGATGAGGGGGAATCGATGATTTCTGTTTTGGAGGTGAGGAAGGGGTCTTTGAGAGGAGTGAAAGGAGGGACTTGGAATCTTTCGGGGGTACCGCATTGGATGTCGTTTTCGGAATTGGGGCTTTCAGTGCTGATGGAGAGAGCGGGAGCATCTTTGCGTGGAGTTCGGGCAGCGAAGTGATGTCCACCTTCGGATTTGCGGAATGGGATTGACACTGTGACGGTGGTTCCGTGGCCGGGTTCGGTATTGATTGTTATTTTGCCGTCGTTGAGTCGGACGAATCGTGCTGCGACGGCGAGACCCAGACCGATGGAGGATTTTTCTCCGTTAAGACATGGCTGTTCGTCTATATCGTCGTCGTCGTCGAGGACTTTCTCGAAGTCTTGGAATATGCCGTCCAGTTCTGGCCTAGGGAGATGGAGAATTAGTCTCTCGTCACAAGAGAAGTTGAGAAATATGTATTTCATAAGTGGGAAACTTACTCGGTGAATCCAGAACCATTGTCAGTAAAGAACATCTCAACTCGAGTCTTATCATCATCAGATTCAACATCTTCAATCCAACAACCGCGTCGCCAGCAATTGAATGCTTCACAGTGTTTGAGAGTAAATTAGTGATCATCTGTCTCAAACGCACGCCATCACATTTTACCACTGCAGGAATATCCGTAATTTCGGCAAATCTAATATTTAGACTCTTCTTTTGACATTCATCACCGAAATCACGGATGACATCGTTCATCATTTCTGCCAAAACAACACTATCATGTGACATTTCAGGATCTTCTCCTTCCGCCTCTGTCAAGTTGAGAAGATCATTCACAACAAAGATAAGGGATCTCGATGCACCTAAAGACTTCTCTAGGTGGAGACGGGCTTGGTCGTCGAGAACTTCTTCGAGTGCTATCTCGAGATAACCAATTATAGCATTCAAGGGGTTTCGAACTTGTAAGAATTAGTAATAGATGAAGAATTCGTGGTTTTGAATGCGTACCTTCAGCTCCAGCTTGTCGAATTAACAATCGCGTCATTCGATTCTGTTGCACAATAGCCTCTTTTTGTCTCCAGACCTCAATGAATCTTCCATACAATGCACTTAGAACACCTGCAGGACTCAACTGAGAGACTCCATATTAGACACCATCAATAAGCTCGGGCTGTGGGATAAACCAACCTTGTTCTCGTGTCCATTCCCGACTAGTGCCTATGACATGCTGACTCCATCTCTTGAAACTTGCTCTTGGCTCAAGATACTCTGTACCAGGCTTATATATTTTCTCATTTGGATTTCCAGCCCACTTGACCTCTTTTAGCTGACCCTTTCGAAAAAATACCAAAAAGTCTGATCCTGAAAGAGACAATGGAATCACAAGAAATCCTGAGATCAAAACAAAATGCGCGGGAAACATAATATCTGTACAGTCTGCAGAGATATTCTGAGTGTAAAAGACAGAAGTATGCGACTTTTTGCGGATATATTGAAGTAGAGAAATACTTTCATTGTAGGCATACAAGCGCCCAATCGTTCTTGCTTCGTCCTTAATGGCCAAGAACCCAAAATCTGCTTCAAACATTTGCAATAAATCTCTCGATGAAGCAGCAACATATTGTGATGGCGAAGTTTTAGGAGGTGCTTTTCCGAGATGCCGTCGTGCTTGTATTCGAGAGAGGTAGATTAATTTCTCAATGTTATTGCTTGTACAATCTCCTAGACTTCGGCAGAGCTCCCTCATTGGGAATGAAACCCTTTTTCCTTCTAGGCCATAATCATGACATGAGATTAAACCCCATAATCGACCTTCTACAATCAAAGAGATGGAGAATGAAGCCCGTACACCCATGTTTGTCAGATATTTGATGTGAACGGGTGACATGGCCCTTAAATATGCTGATGAAAGGTTGAGATTTTTAGGATTATATTTTTCGGTTGAAGACATAAGTCTGGCGGTCTTTTCCGTTCGATCATAGAGTAGTCTTATCTTGTTGAGCGCATAAAGCTGCCGAGCCTGAATAGGTATGTCGGTATTCGGAAACTTGAGGCCACGATAGAGATCCAACGATGCTCTCTCATCAATGTACTCTGCTCTAACCAAGCCTGCGTCATCTTCATCAAACTGGTAAGCCATAACCCTGTGAAATCCGGTCAGATCAAAGACAAGACCAACAACTATGTCGAGTAGAGATGTTATGGAAGTAGCTGAATTCAGCTGCTCCTGAACTTCACAGCCGAGATGAAACATTTCCATCTCGCCAAGCCTGTTCTTGGTCCTCTGTATCGTGCGAAATGGCTCACTATATTTTGTGGTCGACACAATTCGTTCCTCCTCTGTAGCTTGGTTATCGATGATATTGACCTGTTCTCCAGGCAGATTCCAGTTCTCCGGAGGGACGTCAGTCATCAAATCATTCTTTGCCTCAAACTCGCATATGAACAAGCCCGCATCCTCACGGAAGTGTAAAGCACAATACATAGGGATATAGGGAGTTGACTCCAGCATCGTGGTAAAGATATCTGGATATGCTTTGAGATGTTCTTTTTGATGCCAGAGCTTTCTGGATTCAATTCTGGCTCTAAAGTCCAATTCGTACCACTGGACTTAGCAATTGAGTGAAGCAGGGGAGTGCGAAAAGATCTTCAGGCTTGCGGCCAATAATGTTTTCTGCGTTCTCACTTGCAATTCGGACCAAGAAGCGACCGTCCTCTTTTTCCTCGAGAGCCAATAATGCTCCGAAGCTTTGAATGGATCCAGGAATTTGGATGGGCTCATCCTCACAGCGACGAACAATCTCATTAATAGCATGATTGGGAGTGGGTTTGCTTTCAGAGATCAAATGATGGACTGACGCTGTGATGAAAGGGTGTTGAGATGGCGATAATGGCAAGCAAGATTCTGCCAAAACTACATTTGGGTGCCTTTGATTAATGTCACCTTCAGTCTCAGGTACTTCAACGCGAACTTCTGCAAAAGTCGTTTCATCTGGCGCTTCTTGAGTTTTCGCAACACCAGAGTCATTGAGGTTTGTGTCAAGAACTGTTCGCCGTTAATAAGCATTCTAACCAAGACCTGTAGGGCCAATCTCTACCTGTTTCTGTTTCGATACGGATGGGAAACACCCTCTCAATTCGAAATGATACATCCGCATGCTTCTGACGACTTGTAATGATGTCAATACTCCCTGACCCATTGACTACGACAGGTGAAGGTTGGTGCGTCATATCGAACTAATCTAGTGCCTGGCCCAAAAATAGATGCTTTTGAGGACTATCGCGGACATATGTATTGTCCCAGGGTATTCAAGCATTCAATAATTGGTCATGAAAAATGATTTGTCATGATCGTGATGATGCTCTCTTTATATCTACCATAGTCGCACATGCGTGATTGGGGTAGACAAGAACGAACCATCTTGGCGCCCGAACCAAATGGCGTTCTTTTATTTTCAACATCACATATTCGAGACCATACTAATGAACAACAAAGCAATTTTTAAGACTCGAATGTTCAAGTATTCCTCGATTCTCACAGGGATAAATCATTCTCGTGAAAATCAACTGGAGGAGGAACGGAAAAAGAATGGCAATGAAAGACCCATAGAGACGATTTCGGCGTGCAAGTGAACCAAGACATATTGCCCAATTTCTATGAAAAGAATAATGAGGCCGTGTCCAGTCACCAAAGATGACACCTATGTTCTGCGAAGAATCGATAGGCAGCCACTCTACCCCGATGTGCAAACTGTAAACACACCAATCATCTTCAGCTTGTAACTCGATGACATTCAGGAAAGCAAATTTGAAACACATTTGCGTAAAAAACCCATTGCCGCACCAAACGCTCTTATAAGCGCAACAGTTCTGGTAACTTTGAATTTTCTTTTGATCGCGCACTCACCTCCCAGGAAGGATAATTCGAAGTTGAAGATTATGTATTGACAACACAACCGCCACTGCCTTGGCAGGCTGCTGATTTCTAAGGGCTTCCACTACAGGCGTTAAGCTGAATGAACAATTATCCGTGCTACTGTGGACAGGAAAATCGAATTCGTCGAATCGAATGTTGGGAGTGAGAAAGAGGTGTGAGAGTAGGGAGATATAAAAAAAAAGCCAGATGAAATGTAATAATAATAAGTGTGACTTCAAGTGGTAAAGGTTACAACTCGCCGCTCTGAGCGGCTTGACTTATCTGGACAGCTAGTCGAGCCGTGCCGAGTTCGGTACGTTTAAGTTAACCTGAGTGCCTAAGGCATTGATGAAGTCTTGTCGCTTGAGACGTAAGCAGTAGGGTACTTCAGGCCGTTTGTGTGATCTGCTCCTACCAATTCTCTAAATTTGAAGCTATCCCCATATTTTGATCGACCTCCACATCACTCAGACGTGCCAACACATTTCAAACTCCAGCTGAGGACTTCCCGTGCATTTTAGTACCTAAAATCATATACACAATACGTCTCTCGCAATTTTCTATATTGCCCGCCATGCAAGTCTATTCAATGGAGCATACAATGTTTATTCCCCGCATCCAAATAAGCGACCGACCTTTGAAGGCGTCGTTGAACTACATGCCATGACTTTATTAATATGAGGGGAATGAGGGGAAACCTCTTGTCCTTCTCCTCTTCCTATTTATAAACTCTCAGAAATCTGCAAACAATTGAAGTAATTCAATATTCATCAACTAATTTATAATTCTCTCTCGCTGAAAATGGAGCGACTTATTAGGGCCATTCGTACCACTCCATTAATTGACAGCCGCGCACGACCATTACTGATTCCTTCATCCAAGACCAGACATTCCTTACTAGGCATTACTACCAAAGGCAATGGAGACGCTCTAAAAGCTTCTCGTTCAACTTTGGCACACATTCGAGCTACAAATCAACTTGCAGATATTCTCGGTTGTCCCCCAACATGGAACGATGTCTTGGAAGCCATTGAAAAAGAGAACGAAAAGCTAGGCGATGCGTGGATCAAACAATGTCTGAAAGGGATTGAAATAGTTCTTCTTGATTGTTTGAGTACGGAAAATCAAACTTTCGACTATTTTTTGCATGGCAGCTCAACAAGAAGTCAGTATCTTTATATTTCCCCGCTCTCGTATAGATGCCGTGTCACCTCGATCGGTACTTATCTACCCATCCAACGCTCAGCTAATCTTGGCTGCATAGGTAAGTGCAAGAGGATAGTAAGGATTGAAAGTCTTGCAGCAGACATAGTGAATCAGAACATCATGTTATTAGCTATCTCTGAAGATAAGTTCTTTAATTCAGTGGTCGAGGAGCTTCAAAAGGGTATAAATGATGCGATTTCTGATACCGATGTTGTCGGCTTTATATCAGTCATCTGTTATAAACCAAAGCTTGATATTGCTTGGGTCTGTCCCCTCGAAATGATAAAATCGACCTTGATACAATGTATTTGGAAACCACAGAACGAGGGTCATATTCGCTTCAAAGGGTTCGATAGCCAAATTTTGAACTCCTGGATCATTCACATGACAGCTTTACTCATCCGACAATCCGAAAGTTCCCACAAGAAGCCAATTCAGTTCCACACCAGTTTAGGCGATGATGAACTACCTCTCACTCGCTCTTTGCCATCACATCTAGAAGACTTCATTCGTGACTATTCAGATGTTCCAATCGTTTTAGTACATTCTTGTTATCCATGGACGAAGGAAGCGGGATACTTGGCTACCGTACACTCAAATGTGTATGTTGACATTGGTGAAGTGTTTCCTTGTGTAAGCCAGGATGGTCAAGAAGGTGTTATCCGCGATCTTCTGGAGCTTTGTCCTACGGAGAAGATTGTGTGGAGCTCAGATGGGCATGATTTCCCAGAAACGTATTTACTCGCACAAATTCAATCTCGTGAAGCTTTGAAAAAGTAAGATTTCTCACCATCATTAGGAACGTGGACATATATCCAATGATACTGAAGGTCTCCAGGTCCTCGTCGAATATGTCACTAAGAAAGCATTGACTGTTCAACAGGCCTGTTGAAGTCGTTGAAAATATATTCTTCAAACACATCTACTCAGCTGTATGCCCTCCAGTCCAAAATTGAGGCCTATGAAATACAGGATGTTTGATTCAATCTCTTAATGAATTGGACGGGACTACATTGGTCCAATGGGGTTTAACGGTACCAAAGACGTCTACCACACAAACGGTATCAGCAACATTGATATAATCAATGGAACCAATGGGGTTAACGGAAGAAATACAATGAACGGAACCAATGGAACCAAAGGGAACAAGAGCACCAGTCATGCAAACATTTCAGAAAATCCATCAGATCTGGACTTATTTGAATCCTTCATGGCACAACACCCGGGAATTAAATTTCTGCGTGTACAATATGTCGACTACTGCTCCATTACTCGACTACGGATTTTACCAATCAAACGTGTCCGTAATCTTCTTTGCGACGAAAAGGTTGATGTTTCTATTGGTATAACTAATAGTAGTTTAACTCTCACGCCAGTCGATCATCGGATTGATTCAGTCTCTCCCAGAGGTGTATCTAGGCTTTTAACCGCAGTCCCCTCTTCTATGCGACCCGGTCCATGTCATGGGTATGCTTCGGCACAGGGAGAGCTTCGAAATTCTGACAATTCGCCACTTGATGTATGCCCACGAACTAATCTCGGAATATAGTGAACAGAAGCGAAGAATCACGGGACTCGAGTTTCTTGTCGGCTTGAGATTGAAGTTATATTCATGAAAGGGACACTTAACGAAGACAATACCCACGTTTATGTTCCGCTTCCAGGTTCGGATTCTCATTGCTGGGGATCTAATAACGCACTATCTCACGCTGTCATAAATGTTATGGATGAGATAATCGAGAAACTTTCCGATGCTGGTATTGATCTCGAGCAGTGGCATCCAGAATCAGCAACTGTCAATTTGAGTTTGTCATGCCTGCTTGCGCACCTCTTTGAGGCTGCAGATATACTTTTTACAGACTCGAGAGATCATTACCGCAGTTGCACAAACTCATGGATGGCGTGCGACATTGCACCCAAAACCTCTGCCCAGCAAAATGGGCACGGGAGCACATGTTCACTTATCCATACCAACCCCGGAAGGAGAGAAAGAACAAACGTATACTCATTTCTATGCGGGAATACTGAAACATCTTCGCGCAATTACGGCTTTCACCTATGGTAATCCTGCCAGCTATGATCGTATGCTTGCAGCTGGTGGTTGGGCCGGTAGTACATGGGTGACTTGGGGTACCCAAAATCGAGAGACCGCCTTGCGTAAGATTGATGGATCGCATTGGGAGTTGAGATGTATGGATGGCCTTGCCAATGTTTACTTGGCTTTATTCCGCTATCATTGGTGCAGGTGTAGAAGGCGTGGTTTCAAAAGACAAGATGACATGGCTTGACTGCGACATGAACCCTGCTAAATTGAGCCAAGCAGACAGAGATGTCTACAATATCGAAGAAATGTTGCCTTGTACTTTGGAGGAGGCACTTACCGCTCTCAGAATCGACCAAGGTATGTACAAGATACTCGGTGAGGCTGTGGTGGTCACATATATTGCGATGAAACGAGGTGAATTGGAGCTTATGAACAGTATGAAGGATGAGCAGAGAAGAAATTGGATAGTTGAGAGGTATTGAATTAGCAATCCCATAACCTGCTGAGTTATATAAAACAGACTCAGCTGTCATTTCCTAGCGCTTCTTGGGCACGTCTGGATATCAATGCGATTGAATGAGGGTTGAGCCCCGCTTCATAATAGTAAAAACAAGGCGATTTATGTTCAGGCGTTTTACTTTTGTTCCATTGAAGGATCGCAGAAGTAGATAATACTTTTTGGGTCAACGCAATAGTTTATCCTTTTGAAGTATGGAATCGAAATTCATCTCCCGAGCCGGTTTAATGGTCTATCTTTTTGAGCAAACCCAGTATCTTTTTTGTACACTTGTTGAACTCCCACAAATGATCATGCCCTGTAATTTTACACATTTTTCCTGATCATCATCACCTACACGGACTCTGCATAAAGCATACAACCCACCCTCCTTTTCTACACATTCTCGTGCTTCCAAGATGCCACTCGATGTGCTGATATAGATACACTCACCCGGTCTTCTCAAACCCTGCACAAAGTTCGCGTCCTGGCCTCTCACAATCTTTGAGAGCCCTTCCACATCCATCCAAATTCTCTTTGTAGGCTTACTGATCATCGACATTTCACTCAAGACCGGCTCATTGTTCCAATACTTCATTCCTAACCATAACCTCCTTGTCGAGATATTTCGCTGCGTAACAGGTTCTGGTATATATGTAGATAATTCATCCATAGGAGGAGGTGTGAGGCCACCGCGGGTGACCGAAGAGAGGAATCCAGAGGATTGGAGACCGAGCATGAGAGTGAGAATCATGTTCGAGGAGGGGACCGAAGTAAGCCCAAGTCGGGCTTTAGAGGCATTTTGAAGATGTGATGCTACGTGAGAGAGAGTGACGAGAGACATGATGAGGATTGGGAGTCTCTAAGACGAATTCGCAAGCCCGCGCGGGCACAATTGGTGCGATTTATCGGGGATATATTCTTCCAAGTGGAGAGTAGATGAGATTCTGAGAGAGATATTAGATAATTTTCTTGAAAATGTGATTCAATTACTACGGTCAAGATTTCGCAGGACTTACGTTCGCAGATTCAATAATTGCACCCTCGAAATAGTTTCATATAACCTTGGAACAGCTTGAAATTGTTCGACTCGTTCTACTTCCTAATGAAGCCAAAAACCAAAATAATTTATTTTTGCCTTATCTAATCGCGATAAGGTTCTAAGGCATGAACTTTCCATCACCTCAATTCCACCTCTCATTGGTTCTCACTTCATGCAGCTTGCCGCCGATATGGCACTCAACCCCCCATGCCGCAGGTAGCTTGGTATGAAATATTGTATAATAAGAATAAGTCTAATCTCTTTCTGTTTCTCTTTCCTTTCTCTTCTTCTAAGTATAATTTTTTCTCTCTTTCTTTTTTGTATGTTCTCTTGTCGCGCAAGAAGCGTTTGACTTCACTTCTTTACTATCTCTGAAGCTATCAATAATCGCAGGTCGATAAAATGGCAGTAAGACCAGGGGAAGATCTCGCAGCTACTTTGTAAGTAAGAGCTCTCAAATGTCTATGGACCAGTTGTTGATCCAACCCTCGATAGGTTCGCAGATATACATTATTACTATGGTCCACCAACAGTCAAACCTCCTCATCACAGATTTGATAAAGGTTCATATGTCTATCTTTTCGAAAATGCAGGACAGAGAAGAGCTCGACTTGAAATAGCTAACAATGCCGGTACTCCGGATCAAGATGCTTTCACTGGTCGTAAGTTATACACATGCGAGATAAAAGCAAAAGTCACATTTACTGATACCATAATCACCAGATCTTGATTCTGCTCATGTCAAATATTCATATAGGCATACCACATTGGTCACTCTGACTATAGATGGACCAAATGGACAGCAAAGAAACAGTCCAATTGGTGCCCAAGAATGGCATTTGCCAACTTTTGATCCTCGAAACGAGACTAAGTACATGTACAGACTTCACACTATTGATCTCTACTTCTGGAATAAAGAAGATGCACTTAATTTTGTGAATGGAGTGCGGAGAGTTCTACCTCAGCATCAAATTACGATTGAGGATGAGCCAGCACCACCACCATCTCACGCAGACGATATGAGTCCAATAGTTCAGCAATTGGAAAATGTAGCTATATTGGACCCTTCATATCATCATGGTAGAACCAAGACATCTCGAACTTCCTCCCAGCTGCTATTAACGTTTCATTTCCTGGGCCGCCAAATCCCCCCAGCCAATCATCACAAGCTCCTGCTAGTTTTGCACCGATGGCATATAATCCAGCTGCACCAGCTGCTCCCGAAGCTATTCAGCATCGAGAAAAGACACCTCCGCCAGAAGATGGAGCGGGAAATCCACTTGTTCACGCTGCAACTTCTGATCATGGACAATTCTCTCCACCTTCACAATTTCAGCAACATTCAAGCTTTTCCACACCTGCTCCACCACCACAGTTCCAAAGACAGCAAACTTTCCCTATGATGTCCCCACCTCACCAGCCGGCGCACGGACAAGGAAGCTTCTCTGGAGCAACCCCACCACAACATACCAATACCCCTCCGAATTCCAACTATTTCCCCGGCTCGGTTCAGCCTACATCCGGACTTCGCTCTCCATTTTCTCAACAGTTCGCAACCCAAACCCCTTCATTCGCACCTCCACCCACCGCAAACTCGCCAAACACATTCGCACCACCCCCTACCGACAGCACTCCACCCCTCCCAACTCCTACTGGCCCCGCTCCTCCCGCCTACTTCTCTCCCCCTATCTCCCCCAATCAACCCACAACCCAATACGCAACCTTCCCCTCCACTCCCTCCTACGCAACACATAACCTACCCACCCCCGGTCTCTTCTCTCCCGGTTTCGCCCCCCAACATCAAAATCCTCCTCTTTCCTCTCCAGCCCCCGGTCTCCAACCTCTCTCCCCTCCAGGAGGCTTCGCAAACTACACTTATACTGGCGCGCAAACTAGTGCCGGTCAACCATTGATGACAGCCAATGATTACAGTATCCATCAACAAGTCTACAGACCCACAGAAATCGAAGCGAAATTTAAAAGAAAGGGAAGCGGAAAGGGGAAGAAGAGCGACGACAAGAAAGATGGAAAGGATAAAGGACCAAGAGGTCGATTGGAAGATAATGCAGGGAGGTTGGAGAAGGGCGTTACGGGAATTTTGAAAAAGTTCGAGAAGAAGTATGGTTAGGCGTGGAGTTGTGATGGGAGGGGATGGGATAAGAGGGATGGTGAATTAATAGATTGAAACATACTGAAACACCGATGGATCGCGATTCGAGAAGATTAGTTCAAAGTCGAGATATTGTCAACATACGAGTCTACGGGAAATCGATATCGGATCGTGAGATTTGAATTGAGATTTACGGCTTTGGACGAGAATGGAGGGGTTTGCATTCAATCATTCAGTCATACAAGCAATCATCTGATAAAGGAACACGAACATAATGATCAAAGGAGAAGCAAAAGAGAAGTAAGAGACGGGAGAAGGAAAGATAGTGTGGATGTGGAGATTAATATCGTATGTAATATCATAATATCGTAGTGAAGTAAAGTAAAATTGTTATTTTTTATATAAAAATTGTTGATATCCCCCCCTATCTCTCTCTCATTTCATAAGTGCTAGTATATAGATGTTTATATATCTATTCATTCATTCATCTCATCGAATATTTTTAGAATTCATTCATCCTTTGAATATCTAGGACTGTATAATGAATAGGAAAGGAAAGGAGAGGAGAGGAAAAGATAGATCGATGAGAAGAAATGGAAATGATAATAAAATAACATCTCAATCTCTATCTTTATCTCCATTTCCATCTTTATTTCCATCTTTATTTCTATTTCTATTTTTATTTCTATTTCTATTTTCATTTCTGTTTCTATCTTTATTTCTATTTTCATTTCTATTTTTATTTTTATCTTTATTTTGATTTCCATTTTCATTTCTATTTCCATCTCTATCTCCATCTCCATCTTTATTTCCATCTCTATCTCCATCTCCATCCATTCCATTTCATTCAATTCCCTCACATACATATATATATATATATATAAATATCCACAGATCCACAGATCCACAAGTTCACACTCAACAAATCTATATTATATATATATACATCTATATATAAAACTTCGAAGTCTATCAGGTCTTGAATGTTAGATAACTAGGTATACTATATACCTCCAGCTACGAAGGTATCTAGGTAGTATATAGTGGGTAGGTTCTACTTCTTTCTTTCTCTCCCTATTCATCTATCTCTCTCTATCTATCCCTATCCACCCACCTCTCTCTATCTCCCTCCCTCCCTATCTACCTCTCTCCCTTTCCATCCATCCATCCATCCTTCTATCTATCTCTCTCTATCTCTCCCTCTTCCTCTTCCTCTTCCTCTCCCTCTCCCTCCCTCCATCCAACTACCCCTCTCCCTATCTCCCTACCCAACCCAAGCATCTCACAACCTACACACACCTACCCACAACCTACCCACAACCTACCTACAACCTACCCACAACCTACCCACACCTACACGCCTACACACCCCCATATATCTATCTACATATCTATCTACATAATCTCACTAATACTTCTAATACTTCTAATACTTCTAATACTTCTAATACTTCTAATACTTCTATACTTCTAATACTTCTAATACTTCTAATACTTCTAATACTTCTAATACTTCTAATACTTCTAATACTTCTAATACTTCTAATACTTCTAATACTTCTAATACTTCTAATACTTCTAATACTTCAGATACTTCAGATACTTCAGATACCCACACATCACATTGCATCGCATCGTATCCATATCCATATACATATTCATACAAAAAGTCAATCAATATAATCAATGTATCAAGAAGCATCAAGTCAAAGTCAAAGTCAAAGTCAAAGTCAAAGTCAATCCACTATATGATCAAGCGAGTTCAAAAAAGACGCACATATAGACAACAAGACATAAAACATATATATATACACTCAAACCACACACACATACACACACATACACACACATACACACACATACACACACATACACACACATACACACATACACACATATACACATACATATATACACACTCAAACCACATACACATACACACACATAACACACAAAAAACACACAAAACACAAAAACCTGATCCGAATAAAATAGTATTTCCTTTCATTCCCTTTCATTTCTTCCCTTTCCTTCCTTCCCTTCTTTCCTTTCCTTCCCTTCCCTTCCCTTCCCTTCCAACCCTTATCAACCCTTCCCTTTCCTCCCAAAGTCAATTCGACCCAAACCAAATCAATCCCATCCCATCCCATCCCACCCAAATCCCATCCCAAACATAAAATCGCGAGGAAAGCGCCCTTCGCAATGCCATACCCAGTCCATATATGTATGTATGAACATACACCCAAACTCCTAACCCCTTGAAAAGATCCGTTCCCTAAGAGCCCCCAACGTCCAAGTCCAGACCATGACTGTGGAGAAAAACAAAGCAAAAAAAGCATTACGGATTACAAATTTATGAGTGGTGATATGCTTGCTATGCTATGCACGTCTTTCTTTCCTTTCTTCCTTCTTTCTTTCATTCGTACAAGATATCTTCTCCCTTTTCTTTTCCCTTTGCCTTCATCCCCCCCTCGATCCCCTCCTACGAACGAGTCTGCAATCTCGATGTAAAAGTTGAAACCCAAGGACTGGTAGGCGGAGCAATCGGTACCAATTCCGGTCTTTCCTCACTCTTCTCCTCCACTGGCATCTCACTTGATTCTCCCGATGCAAAAAGCGCAAATTGAATATCCTGTGTTAAATCCTCCAATTGTTCATCTGTTTCCGTTGGCACCGTAAGATTATTTGCCTTATCCTTTTGTTCCGCTGCTGCTTTCCTCGCTTCTCTCAAAAGACTTGCACCAATTGCTGACATGCCTTCATTATCCATTTCAACGTCATTATCGTCGAGTTCATCTGGTGCCAAGACGCGAGGTGCGAGAGTTTCTATATCGCTTGTTTTAACTTTATATTCTAATGCTCTTTTTCCTTCATTGATAAGTTCTTCGGTCCAGCCTAAACATTTCTTGAGACTTTGATTCATTTTTTGACTGTCGATCAGTAGTTGTTGATGTTTTGATAAGTCGAGGCGTAGTCTTTTTTCGTCTTTCTTTCGATGTTTGAGATCATGTTCGGCTACCGCGCCAGGACTTAATGTTCCGGCATCAATGAGATCTTCTTCAGAAGATGGGTCCTCCTCTTCTTCTTCGTCTTCCTCATCTTCCAGATCAGAATTCCCTTGACTAATATCCGATAGGCCATTACCCTCTCTCTCATCCACAACAGACAAAGTCCCACTTGTTGCACGTGACGAGGCGCCTGTGGCCACAGATAATCGACCCGAACGACTGAGTCGTTTATATCTTCGTAGTTCCGCGTCTGTCCTCCTCAGTTCTCGTTCTAGAGTTCGATTTATAGCGGAAGTGATGAGTTCCGTGATCTCCCAGATCTAAAACCTTTCCTTCATTCGTGCGATGGCTGCTAATTCGTTTCATACGTTCTATCGAAACCTCCAGCTTGAGTACTATCTTCTATTACCCTACCACGCGTCTTCAAGAGGAAAGTGATTCCCCATCATCAGGCTCATCATCCTCTTCCTCGTCTTCACTTTCCTCACCCTCATCCTCATCCTCCTCCTCTCCTTCAGGTATCTCATCTGCATGTGATATTGAGGCGGGACTTGATGGTTCTGTGATTGTTATTGGATTTGGTACATCTGTCGAATGACCCCCTGGTGAGACCTTCCTTGTCAATATCAATCTCTCCATGGATGATCCTGTGCTTGTATTCCGTTGATGTCCATACCCCCCATCTCCACTTGTCCTTCTTGACTGTGTAATATTATTCGCCGATTGACCACGAACCACAGCTTTCGGTCGAGGTAAAACAGGAGAAGCCAGTGGGGTCGGAGATCTGGTTGTTGATATTGAGGCATATTGTGTATTTGATTTTTGTGGTGACGTGGGTCGCTGTGAAGGGGATGTCGTCGTAGCATTTGCCAATCGTGGAGATGCGACTCGAGAATGAGTTGAGAGAACCGAACTCGGGCGAGGAGGCGCAAATTGTGGTGAAGGCGATAGTCCTAATTCCGGTGTACCATTGGCATGGAAAAACTTTGCATGACCTCTTTCCTCTCCAAGAGTTGATCCTACGGTCGATGCTCCAGAACGAGGTGGTTGTTTCTTGGGAACTTTATCTCCATTGGCATGAAAGAAGGCGGAAGGTTTTTTAGCAAACGCAGGTTTTGTTTGTTGTGTACTGTGAATCTGTGGTTTTACATCACTCGCAAAGAAGAATTTGGAGTCGGCAGAGGATTGTGATGATTGTGAACAATTTAACTCTGAATTTGAAGGACTGAATGCTACAGTTGATCGTTTCGTTGTATCCCTCTCCATCCCTGAAATACCCAATCCAGACGCATTCTGTGTAGGATCATATAATCGAGGACCTTCCGAAGGCATGGGAGTTCCTGATGGTGAATGACTTATACTATCAAATCGAGTCTTTCTTGTACCTGATCTCGCGGTTATATTGTGACCATTCATGGATATAGGACCGAGAGTCGATGAACCGTCTTTTGTATTATTTGGCGTAGTATTTTCTGGACGTGATTGTCTTGAAGCCGGTTTTGCTGTCGAAACTTTGGGAGTTAATGGCGTCTTGGGTTTGTTTCCTCTGTTCGCAGAAGCACTTAAAGTTGGTGCCAATGGTCGATTGGGAGTCGTCTTATCGTATGAAGGCATATTTGGATTACCACTTTTGGCAGCAGAATCTTTCTGCGAAACCACTCGCATTATGACATTATTGTACTATATGGTAAATGGAGAGAATCGATAAGAAAGACGATTTATGGCGTGTAATGTATGAACTTTTGAGGGGTTGATTGTGAAGGAGGAATGGATTTTGTTTTTTGGAGACGGGGTAGATGCAGTGAGTGAGTGGTAAGTGATAAGTGAGTAAGTAGTGTAGTTGATGGACCACTGATAGTAAGGCGGCCGATTTGCATTAGTATCAAGCGAATGAATGGGATGAATGAGATGATGACGGGATGAATGGATAGATGGATGGATGGATGGATACTCGAATAGATAGAAATGTGATATTATTATTATTTTTCAAGTAGAAATATTACTAAACGATAATAAAAAAGGAGTTCTCTATGAAGAGGATTGATTGAGATACTCGAGTAGCGTAGGAATAAGAAGGATTGAGGATTGCAGGAGCTTTGAATATCCACAATCATTGAATAATTGAAACCTCATGAATAACCATCTAAATTGAATTTTATGAGAAAAGATGCATCTTATATGTATTTGAGGATTTGACTACTTGTTGTACGTACGGGAAGGGCAAGGTAAAAGTGTAAAAGGGTAATAAAAGTTCAACGTTTGTGTAATAAATGTAAATCATGAGATATATCGTACACGGACGGGGTATAGGAGAAAAAGAGCAACGTTTTGGTCAAGCTAATAAGTGTCTGGGTTGTGAGTAAGACATTTGGTACTTTATAATTTAAGAATCATCAAGATTGACCTCCTTATTCTTAATTTTATTCGTTGACATTCAGATACTTTATAGGAAATTGTCTAGATGGTAGGTGATAAGTAGATGATAATAAGTAGTAAGTAGTAAGTAGTAAAGTAGTAAGTAGTAAGTAGTAAGTAGTAAGTAGTAAGTAGTAAGTAGTAAGTAGTAAGTAAGTAAGTAGTAAGTAGTAATAGTAAGTAGATGGTAGATGATAGCTAGTAGGTAGCTGAACGACATATATCAAGGTCTTTCCAAAGTCATCTTCTATTGTATGACTACCATTTCTACCTATGCAGATCCTAGAGATTCATTGACGTGGAATGGATATACCAGCTGTGCATAATTCCATTCTTTGCCCCGGTTAGATGGATTCTCTCATGACTTCGTATATCTTCAATTCATCTCTCATACGGAGTACTCAGATTGCAAATTCATGCAATGAATGGAGTGATCACCTGGGCATGAGGGCATCTAGCTAACAACCGACCTATACTTCCTTGATCACTTCAATACTTCAACATACTAAAACAGTGCCAGCAAACTTCACTCCAATATACAATGACAGTGCCAACAAAGAACGAGATATCTATAACCCCTCATCTCAGCACTCATCCAAGTAACCACCAACTAAACCATCCAAAGCAACTTCCCAATCCCCCATCCCCCCTTCTAGTTCTAGAAACACAACTTTGAAGATCATGGGGAACAGCAAAAAGTGCATTAAGAGTCAGACACAGACATATCTAGGCGTGTGTAAAGATCATCTTCCTTGTTTGATATTCCTTTCCCACCGTGTCTATACCTAATCCATGAGGGATTCCCCTGTTATGTGTATGCATAGTGGTGTTGTACATACGTTTAAGGCTTAGTTGGTAGGCTGGTCTGGGTGATGGGCGACGGAGCGGAGTACAATGTACAACACTGCAGTAACTCGATTGTCTCGTGAAAACGATCTCAGTGAGATGCTAGGGAGAGGAGATACTTATGAGGATGTTGTGTAGTACTCTCGTATGACTATAGTAAAGGAGATAGATCATTTTTATATAAAAGGTGTATAGTTCATATACACATATAGATATAACATAGACACATACATGTAAACAAACATATCAAATGAATATAATAAACCTCAAAGAGAGTAAATAATAATAAGATATCAATCCCAATCCCAAATATCGTAATATAAAGCATAAACTACAAAGCATAAACCAATCCCTACCTATCATATCCTATCCCATCCCATCCCATCCCATCCCATCCATCCATCCATCCAATCACAAATCCCCAATCCACCCGACCGCAAATTCCATAGCGTTACCGAAAGTCCTCACACTCCTTCACTAACGACTACCGAAAGGCTACACTACACCACAAACGAGTGACCCATATTCAAAGTAAGGCTGAGATATTGACATTAATTACAAATCCATTTGTACGATATCCATACTCGAGTATCTCTTTTCATCATCACATTTCCAAGTACTCGTACGTACAAGAAAGCATAGGAGTTTGCTATCACACACTGACTCATCAAGGTTACACATTCATTGAATCATCCATCTATCCATCCATCCATCCATCCATCCATCCATTCATTTTTTATTCCATACCTCCCTCATAATACCATGGTCCTTCTCGGACTCGGTCTCCTGATCGCCTCAGTTTCCTTCCTATATTACAAACATGCGCCTGCGGGATGGTGGACCTTTCTCGAGCGATTCAATTTGCGCGCGGGGAATAGTATTCAGGAGGGAGATCGCAATCGAGACGGAGATGCAAAAGGGAAAGGGAGAGAAGGGGAAAGAGAAGATTTGACATGGAGAATCAGAGGAGTAGAAGAACAGGAAAAGGAAAAGGGAGACAGAGGGGAGAAATCTTCGATATCGCCATTATCATCATCATCATCATCAAACCACAAAATAAATGCTCCCGCAGAAAAACTTACAACTACAACCACAACCAATGCGCCAACCTTCCAAATGACCGAACCTTCTCAAACCCCATCAATACAACCACCCTCTCCTCCCCCAAACAAAGCAGCTCTCGACCGCGCCGCCATGCCCCCACCACCTCCTCTTTTCAAAAAACCCACGTCCACCCCGAAACCCAAACCCAAAACCCCCTCATCACCAACTACTCCCCGCGCGCATGCTTCTCAACCTTCTCAAACCCCTCAGATCCCCATCTTTTCGCTCGACGCTACGAATTCTCCATCCACATCCTTAGATCTAGAATCCGAATCCGAACCAGAAATCCCCTCTTTCCCCGCTGCAAACTCCGCACAACGCGCTTCAAATACCGGGTCTCGAGTCCCTCCACGATTAAATCCTCTCCCCGCCTTTAAATCCACACCCACACCCACAACATCAACTCTCAGCAACCCCACCCCCAACCGCGGCCCCCTCCCCAACCGCTCACCCCTCCCAAATCGCACTCCTTCCTCCTCCCTCGCCGCCCCCTCCCTCGCCCCCCCACCAACCCACACCTCCATCCCCTCCAAACCGCGCAAAAAGGTTCTCCTCACCCCCAACCACTCTCCCCTCGACTGGGCGCGTCTCACCTCCTCCCCCACCTCCAACCTACGTAATCTCCCTCCTTCCACTCCTCTCCTGCGCGTGCCTCCTTCCCTGCTCAAACAATTCACCGGAAGGAAAGGGAAAGATGCGTGGACCGTGCTTGGCGGGAAGGTGTATAATATCACGCCCTATCTACCGTATCATCCGGGGGGCGAACCAGAGTTATTAAAGTGTGCGGGTAGAGATGGGACCAGACTGTTTGGGGAGGTGCATCCGTGGGTTAATTGGGAGGGCATGTTGGAGGCGTGTTTGGTGGGGATTAGTGTTGGAGAGGAGGAGTTTGAGGGGGTGGGCGGGTTGGAGGATATGGATTAGCGAGGAGAGAAAGAGAATGATTTGTATTTGAGGGAGGGAAGGGGTTGTGATGTATATATGGGTTTCGGCAGTATAGGAGATTAGAGATTAGATGGATAGAGTAGATTTGCCGGTATTATTACATAAATAAGCATGGCTGTATAGATACTAGGTAGATGCTTCATGAACAGCAATGTATTATATAGGCAAACAAACATACATACAGAGATGGATATGACTCTCAGGTGTAAGTATAAATTAGAATATAGAGAGTAAGATCAACCACAGTAGAATCTATCAATCCAGATTAATTAGATCAGATCAGATCGCACAGATCGGGTCAGATCATTAAGCAAACAACCTGCACCGGTAAACCACTCCCCTCATAAATTCACTACCATCCCTCTTCTCTATCTTCCCCTTTTCACATCTATCCCCACCTACCTAAAAACAAACCTATCCTCATCTTCTTCCTCCTCCACCACCCTCCTCCTTCTGCTTCCAGTTCCATTTCCACTTCCACTTCCAGCCCCCACTCCCATCCTCACCCTCTTAACCGCTCCCCCCTTCCCCAACGAACTCGCCGCCGCCCTTTTATTTCCATTCGCTCCAACCCCAAGACCAATGCTGCCCTCCCTTCCCATCCCACTCAATCTACTACTCCTCAAACTCTCTCTCTGCGTCGTCGAAGCTCGGGAACTTCGTCCTGTGGATGCGGGGGTTAGGGAGCGGAAGATTCCTGGGTCGTCTTCATTTCCATTTTTGTTTTGATTTCCATTTTGATCTTGATTCTCATCCTCAGATTCCGGTATAATCTCCACTTCTGCACTCAGCGCACGCGCATCCATTGGATTTTCAGGTAATTCCTCAGCTTCGTTTTCCGAGTTAATTTCTCGGGGTTGTGGTTTTGCTTTTACTCTGGAGCGGGATGAGTAGATAGGTGTTTGTGTTTCTGGGGTCTCTATTTCTGCTTGTGTTTGTGTTTCTTTTCCTTTTCCTTTGCCTTTGTTTCTTCGGGGTTGGGTGTCGTTGTCGTTTCCTTCTAGACCCCAATATTCGTCACCGGTTCCATTGCCCCTCTTCTTGACTTCTTCAAGAGGTACGATAACCCTGGCGTGAGCTCTCACTGGTCCATCTTCTGCGCCTCTTCTTCTAAATTTCTTGAAGTTCTTTCTTCCATTCCATTTATCATCCCATCTTTCACCTTCGTCCATGTGTCTTGTTGTTTTGGGTGCCGGTCTAGATCGCTTAACTTCCATATCCTCGACTATAGTTAGTTTGCGCATCTCTTCGATGTCGATTGTTGAGACAGCTTGTTTCAAAGATCTCTCTTCGGCTTGTGCGGCTGTTTCAGCGCGTTCGCGTTGCTGAGCTACCAAGGCTTCGATATCGACTTCTTTCTTTTCCTTCTTTTTTGCCGATTCGGGAGCTACGACTTCTTTTTTAATAACTGGAGGTGGAGGAGTTGGTTCACCTCTTTCTCGACGTTGACGTTTGAAGGATGCAGTAGTGGGTGCGAAACTATCCATGTATGATTTTTCTTCGGCAATGGGGGGTGCAGACCTTTTTCTTGTTGATCGCCGTGTCGGTTGAGATGATTCTTCAGGTTCCACAGACTGGGACATTGCGCGGTAATTATCAACTTCGCGATTAGGATCTTGAGAAACAAAGAGACCTTGGGATTCTTCGGGGAGATCTTGTTCTACTACCATGGCTTCGGGTATAGAAGCTAGAGAGACCGGTGCTGGTGGAGGATCATCGTCGTCATCATCATCAAAACCACTGAAACGACTTGTCACAGCTCTTCTTGATCTACCTCTTCGAAATTGAGTTTCTTGCGAGATAGGACCCTTGGGAGCGGGAGCTGTTGAGGAAGCACCAGCTGATATAGATTCAGAAGTCGCAACTGGGTTAGTCTTGGGGGGTGAGATTTGATGGGACTCAGCAGGCGCCTCTATTGGCCTACTAGCATTTGGATATGTAGCTTATGATTGTCAGTAGATTCATTCACCGTTGAATTCAAAGGATGCTTACCTGGTGTTGAAGCTGGAGCCACGACTCCAGACATTTCTATTTCAAGAGATCTCCTCAACAATCTTGCATCTGTCTTGAGTACTGCATCCAAGAATTCACTCTGTAATATGAGTCGTTGATCCAAAGCCAAAGCAACTTGACTAGCAAAGTCTTGGAACCATTCAACACCTTCACCTCTTGTGGGATAAAAGCCCACAACCACAACACCCTTTCCCTCGCTTCCATCCTCAAACTCACCAACCCCTTTCTCTCCTGCCACATTCTTTACATATCTTACAAAGTCATTCACCGGAGTTTGTGTAGGTGTAACTTCACGGTATAATGCTTTTCCACGTCCATCCGTGATGGGCGCTAGAAGTGTCTCAAATTGAGCTTTATCGTAGAAAACAAAGGTATAACCATCAAACATAGTTTGCCTCGAGAGATCAGGGGCATAAGATGTTGCTGGTTCGTCTGTAGGTTCCGTGCCGCGCTCAGGAAGATATTGAACAGCATCTGGGAAATTGTTTTTGAAATCTTTCTCCAAGCTACAAGTTCCATCCGATTCTGGCGTAGTAGCATCAATAATCGCTTTGATGAATGGATCATTGTCCACTATATACTTTCCATTAATCAAAGCTCGGAGTCCTTTGGCCGTGTTGCGTTTTTTGACAACAACATGAGACGTTACATCACGTTCATATTCGGTAAGGACTTTTACGTCGAGTGAACCAAATGTTGCATAAAGCGCTTCGAGGGGGTTGGCCTTCAATTCTTTTGGAGAGAATGAGAATGATAAAGCAACAGGGCACCAGGTAATTCTACATAATTCAGCATCGCTCACACATGTCAAAAGGATCAAGGATAGCTCTTACCGGAATATATGCTTAGATCTTCCTATAATTATTTCATTAATTTCACTCCTGAGTTCATAGTCCTCAATACCCTTGATTTGCTCTCCATTCACAGTGGTACCAGCTTTAGTCTTTTGGTCGTTCAAAATGACTTTTGACCGGCTTTTAGGATTTCTCTTCATGAGGTTATCAGTATAGATTCTATATCTGACTTGGTTGGTACTTACACAATCATCTGGACCAGCGACTCCAACCTCTATCGTTAAATGTTGTCTTGAAACTGACTTGTCGGCGATCGCGAAATGACCATCTTTGCTTTCATCAGCTGAAATAAAAGCCAAAGAATTCGGGCAAACAAACCTTCCGAGACCGTCCTACCGAAGAGATATTTCTTCCCGGGAACGAGCCACCGCGTTTTACCTGCAGGATCTTAGTATAGTTTATGGTAGAACTGTGTACCAATATAGATGTTTACCGTCAAAGAAGTCTCCATCGTTTTCTATAGTCCACATGGTAGATAGAGTGGGATTTATCGTTGTAAATTGAGGGCACTTTCTTGTCGACCCATAACATTTACAGAAATATACAAGAGGAATGTCGATGATGATATTTTTTGTTTGGTGATAATAGTGGCGAGTGGTAGTTCCACCAGTTCGGACATTTATTGATAGAATGATTTATAGGCAGCACGAAGTAGAAGAGATGAGATGGAAGCTTGACACGCGAATCTTTACCTCGCAAAACGCCTGGTCACATGTCGATTGCGATAAGGAACGGTACAAAAAGATAATGTGATTAGATAAGCATAATTTCGCAGCCACCAGTGAGCAGCCCCATTCCGTCACTGTACCTCACCGGGAGTGCACCATCACACAAAGATACTTCACCAAAAGCAATCCATTGCAGTACTCAGTATTCTCGTTTTGGTTTTCAGTTGTTCGCTGAGGCTCTTATTACTATTTTCTCGAATACCAACATCAGTTGCAGCATGTGAACTTTACGTCTACCTCCATCTTCATTTCCCCCTATAAGTCGGTTACCCTACTTTCGGGCCACCCCTGTTTTGGGTCACTTTTCGACCACTTTTTATACCAAAAATGGAATTTCTAACTTTCTTATTTATGAATAGAATATATTGAAAATTTATATATATATAATTCAGATTGTTTTGAACTTATTCTAAAATTTTTAGATTTTTAGGATTTTTTTTATATTGAGATTTAGAGCTTCAAAATATCGATTTTTTTAATTTATATAAGAATCATATACAAATTTGAAAATTTTATAAAATCTTTAGTAACTTTCTAATAAAATTGCTAAAAATAAATTATAAAATTTTATTACAAATTTATAATATAATTTATTTAGAAAATTCAGAAAAAATAGAAAATTTCTTATAAATAAATATTTAAAGAGGTACTTTCAAAATAATAGGGATTATTTATATTATTTTAAATTTATTATATATTATATTTCTATATCTATTAATTTTTTGGAATTTTTTTTGGAATTTCTATATAGACTTGAATTTAAAATTTTCAAAAAGATATATAGTTTTTTTTTAATAATTGTTGTTAAAAAGTTATTAAAGATTTTATAAAATTTTCAAATTTGTATATGATTCCTATACAAATTAAAAAATCGATATTTTAAAGCTTTAGATTTTAATATAGAAAAATCCTAAAAATCTAAAAATTTCAAAATAAGCTTAAATCGATCTAAATGTCACGGGATCACCTCTGGGAGTATTCAGAAGCTTTACCGCTGAGCTAAACGCCCAAAAGACTAGGAGGTAGAACTGGAAGTTCTACCTTACTCTCACATATATAGCAGGACAGGACAGGACAGAAAGGGCTTAGTGTCACCCCGTGACACTAAATTATATGTATATAAATTTTTATCAAATTATATTATATATTGATAGAGATATTAATAGGCCTAAAAAGTGATTTTTGGTGTGAAAGAGTGGTCCAAAACCCTGGTGGCCCGAAAGTAGGGTAACCGACTTACTTCGTTTCAGATAAGTTGGAAGTCATACTTTGTGTATAGAATTACAGGTTGTTCGAGCGAGATCAATATCCATTCGCGGGGAAACCATTTTCAAGAATATTAATGCTCAATGATAGCAAGAACTAACGTAAGATGATTTGCAAATTCTCATTTTTCTGCTGCATTTCCACGACATCGAAGGACGTTTCTGTGTGCATGAACTGAGGAGAAAACAGCACAAAGATATTTCAACCTCACAAATCTATTCAGCTGGCCCAAAAGCACACTCATCTTGTTAAAAAAAATCCGATTTTGTTACTTACTTGAACTGATACCACCATTGCTTTGAACACTTGATCGATCGAGTAATTTCGCTAAATGTACCAAGCGTTCCAGACGGAAGGTGCTCAGGTGTGATGACCAATTTATTACCATTTCCGTGTCTTCATCACTGCCTTGAAGATACACAGATCGAGCAAAAGTCCATCTCCTCCTCTTTGAGTCTATCCAAATCACATCCAGCCTTACATAGAAAACCAAACTGCACGTTGATTTATCTTCTCGATCCGGGCCGCCATTAGCCTGCGAGCCGCCCCCTAGACAAGTAAATGGAGCAGTACCTCGAGGTAAATGCATCAACAGTGCCACCCATGAAGTCATTTGTTCGATGTGCTATCATGGTGGCTAGTCTTATATCCGAAGAGTCCCTTATAGTGTATTGGGTATTGAACAGGATAAATTCAATCGATTAGTACTTGAGGGGTTCCCATGGTAAAAGCGGGTGGTAGTTGTCGAGAGTTCGCTTATAAACAGACTTAGTTTCATACGAGTATAGCTCTCATGGCATGGACATCTTTGTGACGAATACGTATTGCATATGTGCAAACCCATCGAAGCAAGTCAGCTCTTCCATTCATTATGTTGTTTGCCGTTTGATCCTGTTATACTTGATTGAAGACTGGAAATCAAATAGGTATGATCAAGGTTGATGTAGACACGTCGAGTAGGAGCCAAAGACCACGTAGGTGGGAAGATAATTCATTCAATGATTGAAGCCCCTTTGCATGTTGTTGAGAGCTTTAAAGTCTCGCAATGGAGTCATATATTACGAGAAGTCACGGTAGCGAGTCATTGTACATCTCGGATTCCCATACAGTCTTACGAAAGGAGAAGGCGAGGATGAACAAGTAAAGCTTCACACAAAAGCTTAACCTACTTGAATGACATATGCCAAAAAGATGCAATTGTATTCAAAGTGAGGAGGATAGATCATTCTTCAAGATACGAAACTGAAATATAACAAATCATTAGAATGACAGAACGATAGAACGACAGAACGACAGCACGACAGAAATAAAGCTTCTATCAGGACCTAAGACAAGACTGAATTACAGTTCGTTTTCCACCGTGTATCTTGAATCAATCTCATAAAAGTCTCATAAAATAGTGATAAGATACCGTTGATCGGGAGGCTCGGCATCTGATAGAATCTCGGAACATGCTGCCTCAGCAGTTGCCAGACCTTGTTCCTCTAGAACCTGTAATAATCGCTCGCTGAACTCATCACCCCAATCTGCAATATTATTGGGAACCCAAAAATATCCAATCCTTGTGTATGTTCCCGTCACGGAATTTGTATTTCGAAGAACAATACCGTAAATGTGCAATTGATCGATGAATTCGCATTTACTGCCAAATTTGAAACCGTTTTTGCCTGCAACTACTGGTACCAAATGTACAGGTCCAGCATAGTTTTGATCAACATCATCTAGACAGTCTAAATAGATTGGAAACTTCCTCTTTTGGCCACTAACATCTAATAAAACTGCGGTGGCATCTTCATATTTTGCCTCATCTAAAGCCTCCGTGTAAACAATATGGCCAACTGCCATAGTAGAGCAAGCAAGTCGGATGAATCCATCAATAACCTGTCCGAAAGGATTGTGGCCGTAAGGAGTCGTACCGGCATCCACAACATGCGCATATCTAGTATCGAGCTCATCACCGTGTAATTGAGGCCATCCTACCGGCCCATCAATGGAAGTCCAAGACCAAGAAGGGGCTCGCCAGAGTGGTCGCTCCAAGGCGTTACATCCCGCTAGACCCCAGCAAAGCTGCTCTTCGATATTTTTCCTCCACATCCCGGCCAAATACTGATCGCCATTCTTGTCGAATTCCGATTTCGCAATCCCAGAAAGTGCTGGTAATCTGTCTTTCCCATATGTTAGATTCGTTGCCGAATAAAATTTGGCAATTTGAGGCCACTTGAACTTCCTTGGGTCACAGAGAAGTGGTTTAACGAAAAAGTTGGGAAATTCTTCGGGAAAGAACTCTGACGCAATTGAAGACCTGCATTCCCAAAAAGCGCCACGATCACCAAAGTGAATGGTTCGTGGCGACAACACTTTCTCTTGCAGAGCCCATGCTATTGTTCCAAGATGGGCTCTCAAGGTCGATCTTTCGTATTCTTCTTCGCATTGAAAGTCTTGTACTCTTTCCCGTCCACCATCAGTAATTCGTACTCGAAGACCGCCACTAAAGTTTGACGGTTTAAGAAAGCAACCTTCGGTGCTATCACGAGCTGACGAGGCAGCTATTGTGATGACAGAACCTCCATAAATTGAGCTCATTAGCGCAGATTCTTTTTGCCAGTCGCTATCATCATTCTGTATGATGCACAAAGAGTCAATCCACAAGTAATCAATGCCGAGTTTCTTTGTAATATTGATTGCGTCCTTGAAAGTCTTTGGAAGAACCTCCCGTGATATTTCCCTCATTAACTGGCCGACGTTTTCGGAGGTAAGCACGATGGCCCTATGAGAACCCCAGCAATGAGATAGAGCTGCATATCGCAATCTCTCTTGATAGTCGGCCGTGAAGACAAGTCGTGGCGATTCTCCAGCGATAAATATAAGCCGCGTTGGCAGAATCCCATCGTTATTGCTTTTGCAGCCTTCATGCTTTTGGATACAACGCGATAGCCAATTGTTCGCTGTGCTGATTACATTTGGCAATTGGTCATAACAATCAACTTTGTCTAATTAGTAGGTTAGATCAACCACGGATGATGATATAACGAACCTGACACGGGGAGGAATGAGGACAGAATTGCCTGCCCAAACGCTATCCCCTTGTTACAATTATTGCAGACCTTCCCCGGTAGATTGAGCCACAGCAGTTGTTTTGGGTTTGTACACCAGTTCTGAATGGATAAAAACGACATTGAACTTCCACCCAAGAGCAACACGCGATTCTCAATTTTGCGAAAGAGTTCAACTAGCTCCCTATCCTTGAGGCGTTGAATCAAAAACGCGCAAAATTTGCATCCAGCCCGTGTTGATGCTTCTAATTCGAACAAGCTACATGGCCTCACAGCAGTGTGCTCCCAGCCACCTTCTGAGCCAGGCTCTGAATCGTGTTCCCTAGTTGAAGAATCGCCCAAAGTTGGCCAATCATCAAAAAGTTCTTGACATTTGATACAAAATCTTCCGAGAATGGGAGTGATTTTTAAATCCAATACGCGCCGTTCAAATAAATCCTTGTCCAGCTTATCAGATGCTACAGCCTGAAGTAGATGATGATTTGAAGAAAGAAGATTGGCGTCTGTTGACATGTATTCTTCAAACCATTCTCTCAAGCCCTCCTTTTGAGCGTTTAACTCTTTTGGGGTGAAGTCTCCATCATTGGAGATTTGGTCGTTGCTGACCATTGTTGCTTGCTCTGAGGGACACATGAACCATTAAATGTGACCAGGAGGAAATGTTATTGCTTCGCTGATATAGGATTGGAACAGAGGAGCAATCCAGATAAAGCAGAAGATCAAAATATTCCTAGCTCCAATATTTCATACTCGGAAATGAAGGTAACTCCACCGCGATCCCAATGCATCGCCTCTGTGCCAAAGAACAAACCAGAATTGGAGATCATAAGTACACATATGTTAGCATCTCAAAGTGAGATCAAGTGTTGTATATAAGTTGTGAAATAAGGAAAGTTGTTATAGATGATGTGTGTAAGCGTGAGGTGAGAAATTAGTGTCGCTGCACGGACCATGTAACATTGAGTTGTCCTCCTCCCTCCTCGAGCCCTCCTGCCCCTTTCGTTGCCAACGAATCAGCGCCTTGGTAGTTAATGGGTAGGATTTGTAAGATTACTATTTGGTGTAACTATTAACGTGTACACTGGAATATTCCATACACATAAGAATTCATATGGGTGACTATCCTTTCAAACTGGATGTAAGGTTATCTATCATCTTTTGTATTTATAACTTTTGAAGATCCATTTATACTAAAAGGAGAGAAAGCATTACACTCAACACACGCTCCAATGCCATGATCATAAGATACAAACTCCGTCACTGCAGTATACCAAGACCAAATCATCATTTATCACGAAGAAAAACATGAGAACCATAAGAACATTTCGCCAACCTACGCTACCCACTTCGTCGCATCCAACCCAAGAATCTCAATTTCCTAGAATCCGACTCAGCAGACTCACTCCTTTGTGGCTGCGGCCCCGTGCTTGTGAAGCTCCTCTGAGAAGCTCCTGCAGAGATCATAGGTACACCTGACCAGGATGTCGGATGTACTAGGGAAACTGGTCTATGAACTTTCGCTGGAGATCTAATGACACTTTCGGTCGATGTAGAGGCCGATCGAAGAGCGCGGATACTCAAGAGATATTTGGGGTCTCTTTCATTCATATTATTCAACGTGTTGGGAGAGGTGGCCGTTGCTGGTCTTGCGGGTGGTGAAGGTGTGCGGAGTAGACTTCGGTCGATTGGCGTTTCGAGAACTGACTCCTGTATATTATTATTGAGAGTTTGTGGAGAAGGGTGAGGCGAACTAGAGTCAGTGCAATCTTTTAAGGCATCTGGTCGCAAGTTCCCTGGGGAGCTTTGAACAAGACAATTGTCATCAGACTTTGTTAAAGTTTCTGCTTTGGTAATCTTGATAGGAGATGGTGGGGATGGGGACTTGCTAGAGCCTTGATCGCTTCCCAACGTAGACTTTTCTATGTAAGCCCGAATACGTTTCAAGTGGAGGTCACTTGATGCTTTCAGCGTTCCTGGTCTAATTTCCGCAGTGGGAGTATGAGGGTTAATGCTAGTTGTGTTCACAGGACTCTCTGGAATATCAGGCATATGCCTTTCACTAAATTGCGATCTTCTTTTGCTTGAGAAATTGGGAGCTTTAGGCAATGATTTGTCTTTCTCGTTGTAGATTGATCGATGACTTTCTTCTCCAGAAGGAAGGACTTCTCTTTGATTTGCCTTTTGACTGTCACAAGTAATGTCTGACCCTTGTTGAACTAGGTTAGTTACAGCAGTATTGGATGTTTTTCCTTCTTGACTATTCAAATCAGCTTCAGGATCTTCGTTTAACTGACGATAAAAGTGACCAGGGCTGAAATCTCTGGAGTTTCGTGGATTCAGCTTTTTTGTATGTCGTTTCGAGTTGTTACGATCCTCCGCCTCCATGACTTGATAGGTCAACGCAGACTTCTCCGTCGAATCTAATAAATGTTTCACTGGGCTACGAGATGGATCAGTCGAAGTGGTTGGTGGTGAAAGTTCCTGATACAGTTTGACATTATCACCAACTGTCGTAACAGATAGCGAAGTATCTGGTCTCACTGGGAGATCATCATTATTTCCAGGGTGTTCAAGAGAGTAGACTGACGCCTCGTACAGCCATGGACTATGGAGACTTTCCTGATAATTCGGAAATTGTGGTGACATCGGAGCAATAGAAGCACTATATAGATCTGGTATCTGCTTCATGGCTGAATAAAGTTGCGGAAGTGGTGGCCAAGCAGATCGATCGGGCACAAAAGATTGGCGCGAGCTTTCTCCATGTCCGAAAATAGCTTTGAGTAAAGTTCTGGTATAATCTAGAGGAAATCCGGCGATTCTGACCGATGTAACAGTGCCACGAAGGTTTATTATTGCATCACAAAATTGCATAGCTTCCTTCGGGAAGTATTCTGGTACAATAATTAGTAGGGAACGGAAAGACTTTTGAAACATGAAGCAAAGGGCAAACCTACCAAACAATTCATCTGCCTTCCAATCGGGATCATTGTCATCGACTGGACGATAACCATTGAAACGTCGACACAATAGAGTAAGCTCAGCCATCTTACCACATCGCTGTATCAAACCACTGACAAGATCAAGTAGAAGACTTTCCATTTTTTCCATGTTGTACTCGAATCGCCGAGCAAACTTCAGCGCATTGCCACCGAACCGAGTCAGGTCGAGTTCAATTGTGAGGTGTTGAATCCTATTCAAAAAATTGGGCAACCAAATACTCGAGAGCGGAGTGAAAATCGAACTGCAAAATGGAGTCAAGGTAACATGAAAGTGATATTCGGTCCAAAAGTAGGTCAAAATATCATTTCTCATGAGGCTGAAAGATGCCAATGCTCCAGAAACCATTTCAAGGATGCTCCACGGTGAAGTGAAGTAGTAACCATGATAGCAATTCCTCCAAGCAAATTCAGGGGATAGAGATACCGTAGTGTCTGTGCTACTAGGTAAGCAGTAAGAATATATCTTACGGCGAACTGTTGTAGGCATATCAAAAAATGGAGAAAAATTGTCGTTCTGTCGGGGTGGAAGGCAATTCTCGAAACTCTCATTTGAATCCATAGGGACGCCATCGTTAGCGCAGAGGTCCCAGTTCCTGTCGAAAGGAGGATCCCAAGGAAGGGTAGTCTCCTTGGCAGTCGTCGAGATGTAATTTTGTTGAGATCTTGAGGTTTCTCTACTGGGCCCCAATGCTAAACGCTGAAGTCGTGTAGGTTGAGAAGATTTTTTGCTTTTTGTAGACGAGTGGCGAGAGAGAGATAGCCAGCTCGAGCGATTAGACTTGCTTGAATTTGATGGAGGTTGAAGAGTCAATAACATATCATTCTGTGGAGAGCTGACTTGGACACCTTCTGGGATTTGGAATGAAACTACTGACGTTCGCTTTGCAGCTGGAGGCGGAAGGGGTTGTTCGAAATCCAGTTTTGTCTGATTCATTATGGGTGCAGCCCACACTCCTGCAGAATATCTGCTAGATGTAGATGATGCTCGAGTTGGAAGCGAGGCATTTTTCTCCGGCAATTGCAATTCCCTTATAGATTGAATGGAGGATCGAATATTAGGAGTTGTCGAGGAAGAATGGAATTTCCTAGGAAGGCGCGATTCAGCCGAAGATGACGTTTGAGTTGGAAGGAACTGACTGTCTCCTTGTGAAGGAACATCCTTGAGTGATTGGACAGAACGTTTCTTATCGGTAAAGAAGGTAGTGGAAAGGGATCTCGTAAGTTTGCTTGTAGTGGATGCTGCACGAGTTGGAATTTCTTTCTTGGGCGAGAAAATTTCTTGCATAGATTGCACAGATATTCTGTTGCTGAAAGAAAACGGCCTCGGCGTGCGCACTTTGTTGACTTCTGATGATGAACTGTTCGGAAGCAATTGACCTTGCTGTGAAGACAATATTTCAGTGGATTTAGTGACAACATGACTGTTGGGAGATAAAGAGGTGAACTTTTTGAATCTGCTAGATTTCGATGATATGCTAGCTGGCAGAGATTGGCCTTTGAGTGAGGTCAAAGAATTGTGAGTTGATTCAACAGAGCAACCACTGGTCTGGGAAGTTGTTGGAGACTCGGATTTTCGAGAGAGGGGAGACAAAGATCGTTTAATTGACCCAACAATAGACCGTCGCAATGACACTGATATTGTTAGCAGGGTTTGGATAAAAGAATAATCTCAGAGCTTACATCTCTTATTGCCAGAGCCTATCTTCTCTGTAAAGTCCATGGCTTCTGGACTTTTAATAAAAAAGTTGTTTAAGAAGTAGTGTGATGCGCCGAAAGATCGGTTAAGATAATTGATTATTTTGATCACAGTGAACTGAAATTTTACTAGCGAGCAATATCGGCAAGGCTGTGTAAAACCTGTGAATAGGTAAATAGGTGAGGGATGAAGTTTGTTCGACATGTCTTTAGTGAATTTCACATTCTACATTCAATAGCAGATTGTTAATAATGACTTCTTCATATTAAGCTCCCTCGTGAGAAAATCTCTACACAGTCTACGCTCCATGTTTAACTACTTTGCCAATCCACCAGTATCTTTAGATACAACAACGTGGCAGGAGAAAGGTATGTTCCAAAGTGCTCATAATTTTCTCAGTAGATGATGGAAACTGCGATCTGACCTTATGTTTCAAAGAAACTCTACAGCTCTCAGAAGAAACCTTCATCCTAGAATATTTCTGGACTCGAGTTATGAATCAGGAACATTCACAATCTTGCAAAAATGGCTCCATATTGGAAGATTTCACAGTCTCATCTCAACATCCTCACTCGAGAACCCTACATGTAGGAAATGATGCACCACGATCTCAATTTGTGACCATGGAACTCTGAGATATGCCCGCTAGCTTAGCTACCCCCAATGTGAAAAATACACCGGGTGGGTAGCCAGTATATCTACTCATGCCTGGTGAGTAGATGTTCCCATGAGTCAAGTATCATACCTTGATACCAGTGGCAGTTTTCATTCACATCCTGTGGCCCTGAGCCACTAGATCTATGTATCATCCAGGAGCGTCATGTTGATATATTGGAACAAATGCTCTGAGTGCTAAACAGAGAATTCCTATATCTGGCAATACATGCTTAGATATTGCTATGGCAGGTTCTGTTGAGAATCCCTGAAGTCTGTCAATTGTGAAGATTGTGATGTCACTTGAAGTTGTCACAATGTTGTATCGGAATAACAGATATTCCGGACCCCGCCATCGTCATAATTGATTTTTGAAAAACCATTTCTTTCCTTTCACACAAACGAACGGCATAGAATTTGATCGCACATAACAGGCATATCCTTAGGACTTTCACTATTTGATACATCCTCAACACAAAACTACTACAACTGCACTCTCTGATAGTTTATCACAATCGCAAGCATGAGTGCGCCACCTGCCAAGTTCGATGCCGAAAAGGCAGACAATTTTGAAGATGTAAGTTATCCTCCATTGTATGCGCGCAAAATGCTTTTATATACACGTTACTGTTCACGGAACTGATGAATTTGTAGATTGAGAAACAATTCGCAGTCAAAGGTTCGCATAGCTCCAAGATCTTTTTCTAAACACCCCGCCATTAACACCGAAATTAGCTGTTCAACATATGTCCACATACTGGGCAATCCTCGAAAAAGTCCGCGGATCCTCTCTCAGACTTACAAAAATCGACAACGAGATCTATGAACATTTGATGAAGGATTTCCCAGAACTTGATCCGGCAGCCACAATCAATGAGGATGAAATGAAGAGCAAGACAGGAAAAGAGAGATGGAGAAATTTCATGATGAAATATGAGAAGACCGTGGAGGATTATAATTTCGGAACGATGTTGAGAACGAGTCCAAAATCTGAATATGAACAAGACGCAACCATTTTTGGTATGTTGATGTTAAGGTGGTCATTCGGCAATGATGAGGCTAACGATGGCCTTGTATAGTCCCAAGAATGCAATTCTATGCTTATGAGATTGCAAGGTTAGTCCATTTTACCTACATGAAGCAACTTTTCCCTAACAACTCAATAGGAACCGCAAAGGTTGAATGATTGGATCTACGAAAAAGAGCACCCAGAGGCCGAAAAGAAGGCTGCTTAGGAAAATGACTCAAATAATGAATTTCGTTTAAAAACATTATACCCTCGATCATCAGAACATACATTTAGCATTATATTCTATAGCCATGGTGGAACTCAACACGTGAGAACTCGAAGCCGAGTCTTTCTTATACACTGACGCCGCACGTTATCGCCCGTTTGAGATCTAAGTTTCTTGTCTTTGATCTACTTTCCAGATTATATATAGGTCGATGTACTTGGGCATTTGTAACCAGTGCTTTCGGGAATCTAACACATGTTCGATCTGAGCAAAGAAAACCTGTAACTCTGCAATCCCCAGTTTTATTTTAAATCCGCAACACTGTATCCTGCATCTCTACAACCTGTATCTCAACGCCCTGCATTTATACACCTTTTGATTGTATAACCTGCGATTTTGCAATTACATGACTCTTGGCTTTAAACAATCTTAAAATGTTCAGCCAAGTGGCCAAACTAACTCCAGCTTCGGTGGTAATATAAAGACAGTGGTATTAACTCGTTTTTATGAGTATCTATTTTCTTCATTATAACAATTTCACTCATCTCTCTACACAACTGACTACTTCTGATACCTTTACACTCGATTGTCAATTTAAAAATAAATATCCATATACACGATTCCAATCATACCTAAAACCCAAGAACGTGCTAAGCAGAGTGGAGATGCAAACAAGCAAATTGGCGAGAAGACCAATGTGAGCAAGGGATCTAAGGTCGAGAAAGCATCGGATTCAACTGATAAAATCCCAAGATCATCGAATGGAAAGTGGGATGATGGTGTGAAAACTATGAGTCGAGTTCAAAAGAAGGACGATGCGGATGATAGAAAGGCTAATGGGGTGCAAGGCGTGTTAGCTCATGCAGCTAAAAAGGTGGTGGACCCCAAGAAACAGGGAGGAAAACATGGGCTGTCGAGATGAGAAACCATGGATAAAGAGACACACGATGCGGGCAGATAGAAAGAAGCGACTATGTTAAGCAATACTCCGCAGTTCGATAGTGTGGCAACGGTTTCATCTAGGTGCGGGGCGGAGCGGGTTTTTATAAGTAGACGGGAGGTAAATGGTGTGGGAATGTGCACGGAAATTTGCAAACTGAATGATTCGGTCCAGGGCTGGTTCTTGAGATTACGGGTACTGCGTTCTGTCTGTTAGATTGAAGTTGTCAGGATACTCGACCTTACACACTCATTTGCATATGGAATGGAGTTTGGGTCACAGAATTTCATGAGTGAAATTGAGAGAAAGTTTGATTTGTGAATTTCCCATAATCTGAAGTGACTTGGATTTGAAAGCCTTTGAAGTATTTTGGCGGTTCGCTAATTGTATATCCCATCCCTAGCACTTGAACGACTTGGCATGTTTCGTGGCTCTCACTTCCCCTGCACGTATCTCTCCATTCAATCCTCAACGTTGCTCAATTTCTTCTCATTCATCACCAACTCTCATTCATACATCAGTCTCGCTATTGAAACACGTCTCTCTATACTTGGGACAAATCTCATTCCATGCATGCTGATGATAGTCACAGAGCTTGACTCTCGCAGGATTTCTGGGATCCGTTTCTACCTTCCATGGAGACGCCGCTGGTTCCCAAATGGCCTTCATCGTATCAGATTGAAGTCCATCTGCCCACAAAAGAGCATCGTCAATACTCGCGTCTGATTCTCTACATTTCGAGCCAAAGAAACATCCTAATGATTGCGTAACGTAACATCGTGCGAGGAAACGTCGTGCTGTTGAATGATTTTGAGTGGAAGATTCGGGCTTAGTATGTTTGTACCCATACATGATAGTTGCCATTGTTGGAAAAGTATTCGATTTGAAGTAAAAAGAGACGATGCGATTCATCATCACATCTTGCAAGATGGGGATCTCCTTCTTCTCGGCAAAGGTATATAGATCCCATAGAACTTCGATGTTTCTGATGGTTTCCGGAAGCCAAAATCTACCCCGATATGCGAATTGCAAGAATCCTGTGAAGACTTTTGGATCGACCTCAAGTTTGAAGTATGTAGAGTTTCCAATGGGACCGAGGATAGTAGTAAAGAGTCTGCATTGGTAGCGAGTGAGTAGCTCGCGGTGTACAACGAACTCTTTCTCTTCGCTGTAATGCACAGCGGCTATCTTTACCATGACATGGTTTGCACTGCAGATTCAATTAGTATATCTTACGTGGGGCGAAATGTTTTATTCACCGGTTCTCGCCAGGGAGTGGAGCAAAACGAGGGTCTGCTTCTTGCCAATTATAGGTGGCGAAAGTCTGAGATATGGACGGCATTCTGTATGCTAAATTATTCTTGGAATGTGAAAAAAGTTGTCTAGTCTCGAGTAGAATATCTGTGAGATATGTCATATGAAGAAGTGACTATCGTTGAAGAAAATTTTCGAGTTTCTTAACTTTTGTGGTATGGAGGGCAACTTGTGGTAGTATGTGAACATTGAAAATTTATCTGTGAAGATGTTGTGTTAGGAAATGGAGTCGAAAGTTCACATGTATAGATAGTTCAGTATCTACGGTTGCAACTCTACAATTTTCAGTTCGGTGCAGTATGGGCAAGTTCGGAGGATCCACTGATCATGGCAAAGCATCTTCGCAGTACAGTTCTACCGTACTGGTGAGATCTAGAGTGTCCAAATGCTATCAAATTGCACATATACAGGAAGCTTGTGGACCATTTGTTGGATGGTTTCGAGAGCTCAAAATCCAGCAGAGTGATTTGAACACGGTATATATCTTCGCACTGAAACTCGCTCATCCTTAGCCAATACTGTTCTTCTCATTGCAATGTTCTTACAATAGCTTTGCAATCTGGTCAACAACATCCTGTAATGTTCCGGTCGTAGAATAGAGACAATTTATGCTGACCGTACACTTGACAGCACCTCAGTCTCCACAAGGAGAGCTAATATTTCCACAACTGTCTTGATGAAACTGTCACTGTCATTCTCTAAATTTCCCACTGACGATTTTAAAGCCCGCTACAATGCGTAAACTGAAAAGAACCGCATCTCAGAAGGAACATCACTGAGAATCTCAGTTTATTGTCGATGCCAGCAAAGGCTTTGGACCAGGCTTGACGGTGTCATTGACGGGAAAATTGAGACGTTAACTGGTAGTAATACTTGCACGAGCAAAGTCATTTCCCCCAGAGACCCCCAGAGATCGAAATCGTGATTATAGCTCCTTGTTAAATCGGGGGTTTGGAATAACTATTCGTTTGAAATTAGAAAAACATACAACATCACTCAGAAGTACACTTGGATGGGAGCCAATGGATGAAAATTCGATGTACAAGTGTAGGAAGATCCAGTGTGCAAAACCAAGATCTGCTTTGTCCGGTTTTTTGGCCCTTATCCCTATAAACAACGGGATGTATGATTACATCATTCTAGAGGTATCTAGATTTATCTTTCAAAACTCAACAAGCATACATCATCTCCTTCCTCGTAACTTAAATTTTTTGCAATGCAGCTACGGTCTGATTGTAGAAATCAGCGGGTGGTTCAAAAGGTTACTCCTGTCGGAGCGATGGCACGCTTGGAATTGACCGTGTATTAAATACAAGTGAAAAAAATCCTTACTCTTATCTATCTGGAAGTCTCGCTGCCAATAGGTAGCAAATAGACACAGTACGACTTTCTCACAAGAGCGGTTCATCAGAGGGGATAGACTTGGAGCTGGTTGTGAGATTTTAAACATGACAATCTCCATTGAGACAGTTAATAACTGATTCCAATTTGCCAACACCTTATCCAAATTCTCAGAGCTGTTTAGTATGTGATTTCAATCTTGGTTCAGATAATCAGATCTTATGGCGACTCTACTTTTAAATTACATCAATAGATGACTGGCAAGCGAAAGTAGTAGCTACTACTTCTTCCCGCTGACCATCATAACCGCAAATGGAATTTCTTCGGCTTTTCCATGACACCAGCCTCAAAGCCTTCACTTACGGTAGTAAATATCCCCAATTTCCCCAATCTTTATAACCTTTGCTTGTTTTGATCGTTGAAAATGCTGGAAAGATTCAGTAAGCCTTACCACGCCACAACCTCTTCCTATCAGAATAGTAACATGGAACAATCCTGAGCTCGGTCCAAAGATATCTCAAATTACACCACAAGAATAATCACGAGGCGATCTAGTTCTGACAACATCCTCGCATTAAGAAATACTCATAGAAATCATGACATGATGACGTAGAAGCCGTATTCTAACTCGAGAAGGTATGACGGCTCAGTAAGTAAGCATGATTCATTGGAGCTCAGCTTTTGCCAAGCATATCTCACAATTATTCTCAGAGAGAACCGTCTTGTTCAAAGTTGATTTGAAATCAGACCAGTCATCATTCAAAGACCTGTGGACTCTGCCTCCCTTGCTTGATGACCTCGGGTAGTGAGTAGTCAGGTGTGAAGCAATCCCAGCTCGTCCCTCAGCCCCTTTCTCGTGCATCCTAAAGCTAATATGAAGCGAGAAGAATGTAATGTATTTGACGACCTTCCTCAGATTCAACGTTGTTTCAATTGGAATAATATATGTGACCCTCGGATGAGCAAGGTACCTGCGTAAATTAACGAGTAAGGCTATTTTTACCATTCGATGCCAGCTTTGGTTGCACTCAACAATAAAAGTTCATTACGCGCATTTGGGGGTTCCATCTCAACGTTGTATCAATTATCATAAACATAATCGAGGCTGTCTCTCAGCGCGGCACGATAGATAATCGAAAAACTCGGACACTAATCATGGTGAGATTTCAGGCACCTGCGTAACCAATCCTAACAGGCTTGTTTCTAATCATTCAATATTTGAGCGCCAATGCAACCATTTAGGGATACATGTTAGAAATTTACGATAATCAGCTAAGCCGTATGACAAGATTTTGCCGTGAAAAGCGTATTCTCGGTAAGTTGTGCCGCTTCATCACGCCCCATGAATGTAA